CCACTCTGTTCAGAAAAATGGCACAAATAAGCTTGATACAAATTTAAGGTTTATGTTCATCTTCAATGGGAATATAACAAAATTATATTGTATGTAAATAATAGCAAATTAAAAGTAAAGAACAATTATTCAAATAAAATTTGAAAAAAAATAAGAATAATTTTTTAAGTGTAAAGTATTTCTTAAAAAATTTAATAAAATAATCAACTTTACTTGTAGTATCCTTATTCTCTTCACATGTTATAATTTCTCCAAATTTCTTATACTAAGAGCAAAACATAAGTTATTAAGTGTTGAATGATAAAATATCCATACTTTAACAAAATCTTCATATAATGAGTTTTAACAAAGTTATTTCAACTTTTACTAAGAACATAATACTTATTTGCCCATTTTTTTAACTTCATAGAGAATACATTACCATCCATATCATAGGCACTAACGGTATTTTTGCCAAAATATTTTCACTATTCTTCAATATTGGCAAGAATTTTTTTTTTAACATATTTCATGTTGAGTAATAGTCTGTTATGACTTGCTCTTACATCACTAGTTGTTAGTTTCTTTTCAAGAGGTTTACCACAGTCAACAGTATAGTCATAGAGACTATGAAGTAATGGCAAATTTATCCCATTGAGAAATTGTGTTGATGATAACTTTTCGTCATTTGTTACGTGAGAAGTAACCAACCTATTGTGTGATGATGACTCTTCACTATTTTCTTGAATTATTTTGTGTTTTCTCTTAGAATGACGATTTATAGGATGTCTCCTTATGCCTTGTTGTATTGTTAAAAGAGCTTTAATTGTTACAATTTTATCTAAAATTAATTTTTCATGGGGGTAATTTCATCCTTATTATTTCTCTTATTATGAAAATTTGTGTTATGTTAATATATATATATATATATATATATATATATATATATAGGCAAGAATTAAAGAATCAAGAAAATTTTAAGATGTTTATTATCTAAATAAATTAAAAATATAAATAATCAATGAAGTATACTTATCATTAGTTAAATTTAATCAGAAAACCAAAAGATAATGCAAATATGATAAGAAAATACAGTTAAAAAAATTTTAATATTTGAATTTGAATTCTTTTTTTTTTTAAATAGATATGTTGTTTATAAATTTAGGATTAGGCTTAGGCGCGGATCAAAATAAAGATAAAGGGAGGGATCGGCCTCAGCATAAAAATTCAATATTTAAAAAATATATTAACAAAATCAAATATTTAAATATTTTATTATGAAAATAAAAGTTCAGTGATATTAAAATAATTTAAATTAATTTATAATTTTAAACTCATACAAATAATAAAATTTTATTAAAAATATTATAAAATTAAAAAACTATTTTCAAAAATTAAATAATTCCTTAATTTTTTAAAATAAAACATTGCTGCTGAGTATAAAACTTTACGAAAAAACACATCTATAACAACATTTTACAATAAAGAATTATTAAATTGCCTTTGACTAAAAATAATTACTTATCTTGTAATTTATAACTAATTTTATTTTTAAATTTATTTATTTCCTTCTTCATTGGATGATATCATACATTTATTATTAGCTGGCATTTGAAAGTCTTTATTCTTTATTTTGGTGTGGCTTTGTTGCAATTCATAAAATTAATTTTTTTATTTTGATTTTGATTTTTAAATATAATTGAGAGGTAATACATTGTAATGAATTTCAATTATGCAAGAATAACTGAAAGGGATGCCTATGATTGTGCAAAGCCATATAATGAAATAGCTAAATATTTCAACCAAAAGTTGAAGGAAGTTAGGAAGCTGTGGTTCAACTTAGCAAAGACCTTTCTCAATCTGCAATAACATATGTAGATATCTACTCTGTCAAGAACTCTCTTTTTAGCAATCCTAAAAAATACAGTGAGCCAATTTAAAGTGATCATTCTCTTGTTCGATATAAGGACTTAAAGTTAATAAATATTCAATAATTTAAAAATTATTATAAATTTTCATCTAAAAATATGATATAAAGCTTTCATTTCAAAATAATTAATAATTTCAAATTTTATTAATCATATTATGGTTAATAAAACTCTTATATTATGGCTTAAATTTTATGTTATTTATAAATAAATTATTTTTATTTTAAATAAATATTTTATAGTTTTTTTATAATGATATATTTTGTATTAAACAAAAATATATAAGTTAATATATTTTATATTTTAAATTTTATTATATAACACACAAATAATAATAATAATAATAATACAACTTTATGTGATATGTTTAAACTGGAATATAAATACTATTTCGACATTATAAATTATCATTTTTCAGTTATGGAATAACAAATTGGCTATGTCTACAAGACAATATTATATGGAAGGTCATCATTTATTGTTTGTATCCATTAAAAGTTGCTAATATTTAATCTTTAAGAAATTATTTTCTTACAATTTTAATTAATATTTTTCTTATTTTTAACATTTTATGGTGTGTTTTTTAATTTTATTTTTTACATTTGTATATAATTAATTTCAATATTTTTTTATTAAATATAATTTATAGTCAATTTATTATTTCCATTTTTAACACTGTATAACCATCAACATAAAGTTTTATATACAATAAATTTGAATTAATTATAATTTAAATTTTTAAGTTATGTAAAATATTAAATAATGATATACAAATAATTTTATTTTTCACTTTTATATATAATTAATTTTAAATGATGATATATCAAGCATTACCAGCATACATCACAATCATCTATGTGGCCAATACTTTTTATAATATATATATATTTTTTGTGCTAATATCCATACTACTAATGGTTCTAAGCATGGTAAATTTTACTAATCCTAAATTTTATTATAAATTTATATAATATTAAGTAAGTGCAGTGAATTTTGTATGAATATTATCTATAATGTTAACATTACATGTGTTTCCAAATATTTGGCTTGAGTTTTTTGTAATTTAAAAAATATAAAAATTTAATTATGTCAAATTGATTGAATTTATTTCTTTAAATCAATTTGATGTATATTTGCGACCACACCCTCCTAAAATCGCTTGGATGCATGACGAAATTAATAAAAAGCTATTAATCTTTTATTTAGAGTATAACTACAAAATAAAAAAAAAATCTTGATCTGATTAAATTAGTCACAATTGTAAAGCAAAATTACCAAAATTAAAGAAAAGTCCTCTCATTTATTTTTTAAAATTTTATTTATTATTTATTTGAAATTTTAAGATAATTTAATTATTTTTAGTTATATTATTTTTTTTACTTAATTCTTGTTTTTCAGATTTTTTAAAATTAATTAATTAAAAATTTTATTCAAAAGAATGTGTTTCTACCAGTGAACAATAGATTAACTAATAAGGATTATTTTAACTTAATTTATCTCAATAAATATAATTATTTTAAATAATTAAAAAGAGTATTTTGCCATAATATTTGTAAGCAATTTTAACATAATTACCTCCGATACATGATAAAAAAATAGATATTTCTAATAATCTTTTTGTCAAAACAAAGCAATTTTCTTAGGAGAAGAAAGAGGAGAGAAAATGAATGTCTAGCTGTTGTAAAAAAGTCACATTAATTACTTTCTCAGCTTAATAATAATAATATCTTACAATTATTTCTTACAAGTTACAACTCTACTAAGGTTATTAATTAAAAGTATTATTAAAAGTTATAAAAATATACATTATAACACCCTTTTAATAATTTTTTCCTTACATAAATATATTATTCTTTATTGGAAAAATAAAAAACATATTTTTTTTAGTAAAAAAGAGATGAATAAATTACATTTATGATAAAATAAAAATATAAAAAATTATTTTGGCTTAAATATAATTTTCATTTTCAAATTTTGGTAATTTTTTATTTTAATCTATTTAAATATTTTTTTTGTTTTTATTGTTGATTTAGTTTACTAAATTATTGTCAAATATTAATTTTTAGTTAAATTATATTAAATAAATATATTTTTAAATATAAGAACTAAAATAAAAAATTTTAAAAATTATTAAAATATAAAGACTACATATATATTAAATAAACACTTTATTATCAAATAATGTAAATAAAAAAAATCTGTATAATATATATATATATATATATATATATATAAAATAAATTTTCATTTTAATAATTTCTTTATTATCATATGTGTTTAACCCATATATATGTAATAAAATAAGTAACACAATTTTTTAATATTTATTTGACTATTGATTAAAATTTATATGACTTACACTGATTAAATGAGAAGCGAATTTTGTTAAATAAAGAATTGGACAAACTTTATTTAATGATTTTCATTTAAAACTTAAATAATAGTAATAATAATAATAAAATATTTTAAAAATGTGCTGGTTATTATTTTTTTATTATTTTAAGTGATAAAATTTTAATTTTTAATAAATAAGTTTTGTTGTTTGAGTCTTCTGTAGAGTAGGGAGGAATTTCCATGCATAAATCCGCTATTCACGTGAGACTTGCGTTACTCGTGAAGACATTGTTTTAAAAGAAAATATCATCGTCACTATTTGAATAATTATTTTTTATTTAATTAAAACAGCACATTTACTTTTATGCATAATTTATGAAGCTTAACTTTTAAACAAAAAAATGTTTAAAAAAGTATCTTAAATACGAATATTTTTAAGTATTAATTATTTTTCTTGTTATGGCATGCAGTTTTTTATATATTGAATATTCATTTTTTATTTTATCTGAATTTAAAATTTATATTTCAAAAATGAAAAAATCTCAATAATTTTTAAAAAAGTTATTTAAAAATTCTCATATAATGCATAAAAAGCTTACTTAAGACTAAAATATTAATTTAATATTTTTAAAAATCATTGAAAAAAATGTTATTCTAATTTTGTATATGGCCCATTCATCCCGTGCGATGCACGAGTGATTATTATAGTAGAAAATAAACGTGCCAGCTACCAGCATTTTATAATATTACCAACCTACCCCTCGTTTTGGTGTTTCCTTTGTTCTTGGTTCGAAGATTATATACATACATGTCTTGAAGCTAAAGCCACCAACATCACACCAACCATTGGATCTACTGACCTCTTACCTTCTTCTCCATTGATCCGTTTCTCTCTCTAACGGTAACTGCATCCCCCCACTCTCTTTCTCTAGAGTTCAGAGTTATTGTTTCAATCTGTCCCATTTCTTATGCGCATTTTCCCCGTGTGATTCTCTGACATGTGCTCACGCTGCTGAATCTATAAAAGTCTGATTTTGATTGAAATTATGAGGCCCCAGAAGCTGATTTGATCTGGGTTTTGTTTGTTTTGTGTTAAAGGAGAGATTTTTCATTTTGCTTTTGGTGGTGAGTTTTTGGCACGTGTAAGGAGCAATGGCACGCAAGAAGATCAGAGAGTATGATTCTAAGAGATTGTTGAAGGAGCACTTTAAGAGATTCTCTGGCCAGGACTTGCCTATCAAGTCTGCACAAGTAAGCATTTTCCTCATGGGCTGTGTTTTAATTTAAATTTCCATATAGTTTCTTGTGTTGGCTTGGCTGTGTGAATCTTGTACCTTCTAATTTTGTTTGACTATAGGACTCTATTTATTTGAAGCCAATGTGTTATGTCGAACACCATTTGTGTTTTGGACTTGATTATGAATTCATGATAGCAAGTGAATCCATTGCATTGTATTAGACAACAAACTTTAATCTTGCAGCTTACTAGCTTATTGTAAATAATGTTATTTTTGTAGTTGGTTTGTTTTCTTAAATGAGTAAATTTAAACATGACATTATTTGGTTGTTATCATCTTCTGATGTGCACACTATAAGTTTATGCCTGAAAAGCTCTAATCCGAACATCCGTCAACTAAAATTTGCTAATCTGACTGGTGTTGTCTCTCTTCAACATGATAATTTACCTAGTGTTTTAAGCTGTTGACTATATGATGTATATAAATTATTTGCGGAAAAGTTCAAATTTGTATCTTACTAATCAGTCAGTGCAGCATGCATATCAGACTTTAATAAATTTGTTGTATGTTATATTCCTAAGGTTACAGAAACCACCAATTTCAATGAGCTAGCAGAGAAGGAACCCTGGCTTTCATCTTCAAAACTGGTTGTGAAACCTGATATGCTATTTGGTAAGCGTGGAAAAAGTGGGTTGGTTGCCTTGAATCTGGATTTGGCAGAAGTTGCTTCTTTTGTGAAAGAGCGTCTTGGCAAAGAGGTGTTTTTTTTTTCTCCTCTGTTACTTCAAACCTTACTCAAATTGTTTTTTGCTTCTGTTAATCACTTTTTCTTTGTAATTCCTGTCTACATCTTAGTATTTGCTCATATCTTAATAATGTAGGTTGAGATGGGAGGATGCAAGGGACCTATAACAACTTTCATTGTTGAACCATTTATCCCTCACAACGAGGAGTTTTACCTTAACATTGTCTCAGAGAGACTAGGGAACAGCATATGCTTTTCTGAATGTGGAGGAATTGAAATTGAAGAGAACTGGGATAAGGTACCAAAATTCATAATTTTTTTAAACCTTATGAATTAATTACTTGCTGTAAATTCTGTTCATAGCTTCCTTATAATTCTCATAACCTACAATGTGATTTGTTCATATTTCAGGTCAAGACTGTGTTTATGCCAACAGGAGTGTCTCTTACATCAGAGAATATTGCTCCACTTGTTGCAACCCTTCCTTTGGAGGTATATTACTTTGCTAATTTTTTATTTTTTGAACACGTCAGCTTTGTTACTCTTTGGTTAATTGATAGGACAATGTGATTGCATATCACATGCTTTTTTGTTGGTGGACACTGTGATTCAATTTTTTATGAGTACTTCATTCATGCTTACAGATAAAGGGAGAAATTGAGGAATTTATCAAGGTGGTTTTCACTCTATTTCAAGGTATATTACAAAATATGCATTTACTAAAATTAGATGTGCTTGTGAAGACAAATTCATTGACACTAGACTTTCAATTTAAACAGTTTTTTTCCTTATTTTTTCCCCCTCATGTTAGACCTGGATTTCACGTTCTTGGAGATGAATCCTTTCACTTTGGTCAATGGAAAGCCTTATCCTCTGGATATGAGAGGCGAGCTAGATGACACTGCTGCTTTCAAAAACTTCAAGAAGTGAGTTTTTTCTCTCTAAATAGTATCAACTGTTATTAAAAGGATGAATGTTGTATATCTAACTGAATAACAATGTTATTTAAAGAATACCACCTGAATATTGTATTTCTAATTCACAATATATAACTGAATAACAGGGCATGGTCAAAAGATTTTGATGAGCATACATTTTATTTTATTTTTTTGCAGATGGGGAAACATTGAATTTCCGATGCCATTTGGAAGGGTTATGAGTTCTACAGAGGCTTTCATCCATGGCTTAGATGAAAAGGTGAATAAATATACTTTTCTCCTATATATACAACCATGTTGAATTCATTTTAACTTCGTCCATAGCCTGCAAATTTTAATCATTTTTGCTTCTTAGCAACTACTGTTAACACATGGTCTGTAAATCTTCACGGTCAATTACTAAGCTCTTATCTATCATCCATAATATTATAGCTCGTAATTATCTGTGTTTTAAAATTTTTAAGTCTAAAAGGCTTATGATGTTTGTTTGCATATTTTCTACTCCCAGACAAGTGCATCTTTAAAATTCACAGTGTTAAACCCAACGGGTCGAATTTGGACAATGGTAGCTGGGGGAGGTGCTAGTGTCATTTATGCTGATACGGTGTGTTTCAATTACTTTAAAACTAAATTAGTAGCTAAAATTTATTCTCTTGTAACAATAAGCAAAAAATTTCTTATATACTAATTTCTTAAAACAGGTAGGAGATCTGGGTTATGCTCCTGAGCTTGGAAATTATGCAGAGTATAGTGGTGCACCCAAGGAAGATGAGGTCTTGCAATATGCCAGAGTTGTAATTGATGTAATGAGATCTTATCTCAAACTTTATTTTTTAGTATATTTATTATCAATTTGTCGATATAATATTATTGCTTTTCATGATCAGCCATCCCTTGTTTACAGTATGTAAAGATTGTCAAAATGCATGCTACTTTGAAACTGATGCTGTAGTGATTCTTTCTCTCTATCACAATCTCATTGCAGTGTGCAACTTCAAATCCTGATGGCCAGAAGCGAGCCCTTGTGATCGGGGGAGGAATAGCTAACTTTACTGATGTCGCTGCTACATTCAGTGGCATAATTCGAGCTTTGAAGGAGAAGGTAAGCCTAGAATCATGAATCTTTGCCCACTTATATCATATTAATTTCCTTATGGTAGATTTAATTGATTGTTGAGCTGTTATAAATCAGGAACAAAAGCTAAAAGAAGCAAAGATACACATATATGTGAGGAGAGGAGGTCCCAACTACCAGAAGGGTCTAGCAAAAATGAGGGCACTTGGACAGGAGATTGGCATTCCCATTGAGGTTATATAACTGATTGCTTTAATGATTGTATTAAGAAGCCAAATGATGCTGATTAAAAAAAATTGTTGAAAAACTTTCTCTGATCTATTTTGGTCTCTTTACAGGTTTATGGACCTGAAGCTACAATGACTGGTATATGCAAACAAGCAATTCAGTGCATCACTGCTGCTGCTTAGTTATCTATTCTTAGGCCATTTCCTTCTTTTGCAAGTATTTTCATGGCTAGTTTGAAGTGATTGTTGATTCTTAATTCCCTTTACCACTCAGAATTGAGAACTTTGGTGAGTTAGAGCATAGGCTATTACAAATCTAGTCATATAATAAAGTGGTATATAGGGTGTTCTGTATCATGTAGAATTCTGATAGTGTCGTCTTGAAACAATAAAGTAGTTAATTCATTTGTCACAAACGTAGCTGCAATTTCATGTGATACAGTAGTTCTAGGTATGAAAAACAACGAAGAACTAGAACAATAGGGATTCTAAGAAGAAGAATAGAATCCGAAGAATTTTTATTGAGTAAGAGATTCAGGAAGATATGTTGCTTACAAAAGAATGGAATGTATTGAATTCTGTTACATTGCTACTTATAGCAGAGCTTAGTAACTAACTACTAAAACCATAACAGAAACTAATTTTTATTTAAGTCCTCACACTAATTGAATTATTACAACAAGCCCTCTTATGATCAATATCCTGTATCAATGCCTCCCTCCAAAAACATTCTTGCCCTCAAGAATGGAACTGAGGAAACTTTTGCTTTAAGTCATAATAAAATTCCCAGGTAGCATCTTCAGGAAGTTGATGCTTCCATTTGACCAACACTTTTGTAGCAGCACGACTGCCCCTTTTTATCGTCATTCTATCAAGAATGGCTTCAGGTTCCCTTGTTCCTCCTTTCTCCCAAGTGGCAGTGGGCAAAGTGCTAGAAGTAGAGGTTTGTCCAACATGTTTTCTTAATTGAGAGACATGGAAGACATTATGAATTTGAGACTGAGCAGGCAAGTCCAACTTATAAGCAACCGGACCCACATGATCCAGGATGAGAAATGGACCATAAAACTTAGGAGAAAGCTTGGCATTTTCTTGGAAAGTCATAGAAACTTGTCTGTAAGGGTGAAGCTTGACAAAAAACCCAATCACCAATCTGAAATCTGCGATCAGACCTGTGCCTATCAGTCAATTGCTTCATCCTGTCTTGTGCTCTCTTCATATGGAACTTGAGCAGCTTGAGGACCGCTTCTCTCTTTTGCAGACTTCTATCCACAAGTTCAATGTTTGATTCCCCAGGCAAATAAGGCAAACAGATAGGTGGTGGCTGGCCATAGACCATTTCAAAGGGAGTAGCTTGAATGCTACTGTGAAAATTTGTGTTATACCACCACTCCGCAAGTGGCAACCACCTGGACCATTGCTTGGGCTGATCAGAACACATACATCTGAGGTAGGTTTCGAGGAACCTATTCACAACCTCAGTTTGACCATCAGTTTGAGGGTGGTAGGCCGTTGATAACTGGAGCTGAACTCCCTGAAATGCCATGAGATCTTGCCAGAATTTGCTCACAAACACCGGGTCCCGGTCAGAAGTAATAGTGGCAGGAAAACCATGTAATTTAAAAACATGGTCCAAGAAGCTTTGTGCCACATCAGCAGCAGTGTAGGGATGAGAGAGGGACATGAAATGTGCAGCTTTGCTGAGCCTATCCACCACTACAAAGATGACTTGCTTTCCAAAAGATAGTGGTAATCCTTCAATGAAATTCATGGTGATGTGTTGCCACACATGATCAGGAATTGGTAATGGTTGAAGGAGTCAAGGGGAAGCAGCATTATCAATTTTACAGGTTTGGCAGACACCACATTGTTGCACAAGGGATTTGACATCTTTGGTCATCCCTCTCCAATATACAATCGCTTTGATTTTCCTCAATGTCACATCCCTACCAGAATGTCCTCCGACGGCTGATTCATGAATCCACTTGAGAAGGTGCTTCCTCAATTCAGTATCCCTACCAACCACCAGTTTACCTTTCCTTCTTAACTGATTAGTATTCCATGTAAAATGTCTATGAGAGGCAGGATTAGCTTGAAGTTCAGAAATCAACTTCTGAAGAGAAGGATCAGATTGCCAAGACAACAGGATTCTTTGTAAAAGATCAGATTCAGGTTGAAGGGTGGTAGATGTCAAACAAGAAACTGCATCTATATTTTCCAACCTAGAGAGAGCATCTGCAGCAACATTTTCCTTGCCTTCTTTGTACTCAATGTCAAAGTCAAATTCAAGCAATTTAACAAGCCATTGCTGCTAAAAAGTTGTAGTTAGTCTTTGATCCAGAATGTATTTAAGACTCTTATGATCAGTGCGAATGATGAATTTCCTTAAAAAGTTGTAGTGTCTCCACTTTTGGACAGCAAAAACCACTGTCAATAATTCCTTTTCATAAGTAGAAAGTGACTTTTGTTGCAAGTTAAAGGCTCTGCTAATGAAAGCCAAAGGGTGATGATCTTGCATTAGGACAACTCCTATCCCATTCCCTGAGGCATCTACTTCCACGACAAAAACCTTAGTGAAATCCGGCAAGGCCAGGACTGGAGCTTTAATTAAGTGATCTTTTAAGGACTGAAATGCCAATTTAGCTTCAAGGGTCCAAGAAAAATTATCTTTCTTCAACATCTCAGTTAAAGGTTTAGCTAAGATGCCATAGCTTTTTACAAACCACCTGTAATACCCTGTGAGTCCTAAAAAACCCCTCAGCTGCTTAAGTGATTGAGGGAAGGGCCATTTGGTAACAGCAGAAATTTTCTCAGGATCAGTAGAAACCCCTTGAGCAGAAATAAAATGTCCTAGATATTCAACCCTGGAGACACCAAAGTAACATTTAGATTTCTTAGCATACAAGAATTGCTCTCTCATGGTTTGTAAAACCTGATGGAGATGTAGCAAATGTTCTTCCAAACTCTTGCTGTAGATGAGAATATCATAAAAAAAGACAACAAGGAATTTCCTTAAGTAAGCCTGAAAAACGTCATTCATTAATCCCTGAAATGTAGCTGGGGCATTGGTCAACCCAAAGGGCATGACCAAGTACTCAAAATGCCCTGCATGTGTCTTAAAAGCAATTTTGTGTATGTCAGCAGCATTCATTCTTACTTGGTTATACCCCGACCTAAGATCTATTTTAGAAAAAATTACTGAACCATGCAACTCATCAAGTAAATCCTCTACTAAGAGAATTGGAAACTTATCCTTAACATAATGCTTGTTGAGATCTCTATAGTCTACACAAAGTCTCCAAGAGCCATCCTTCTTACCCACCAAAACCACAAGACTATCATATGGACTATTGCTGTGCTGAATGATTCCAGACCTGAGTGACTCCTGAACCAACCTATCAATCTCATCCTTCTGCTGCTTACTGCACCGATAAGGTCTCTTAGAAATAGGATTAGCTCCCTGAATCAATGGAATGTAATGATCATAACCCGGTCTTGTCGGAGGCAGGCCCGAGGGTTCGTGGAAGACATCCTCATAGTCTCTTAACACCCCTTCCAGAGCAGAAGAAGGTTTAGACACAACAGCATGAGTGGTCAATGAGTGTAGTAACCCCGTATGTTGATCACAAAGTTGTAACATAGAAAAATGGACTCCAGTGCCCAATGCCTTGGTCAATTGCTGCTTCCTAACAGTTTTCACATTAGTAGTGACACCCCTTAAAACATGTTTCTTCCCATAAACATAGAACTGCATTGATAACTTGTCAAAATTCCAAGTAATATCCCCTAATGTTACCAATCACTCTATCCCCAACACCAAATCACAACAGCCAAGAGGAAGGAGCATAACATCTGAAGTAAATGGAGTCTGTTGAATCGTCCATGTGAAATCTTTGATCATAGAAGAAACTGCAACCTTAGTTCCGTCAGCAACAGTAACAGTTAAGGGTGACGTCTGAGAAGTTTTACAACCCAATTTCTTAGCGACCTCCACATCCAGAAAATTATGTGTGCTCCCACTGTCAATGAGCACATGCAATGGTTTCTTCAAGAAATAACTTGTGATCCTCATCGTTCGAAAGCTAGGCAAACCTGACATTGCATTTACAGAAATTAATGGCCCAACAGGGTCCTGATCATCCCGGTCTTCATCAAGTGACAACTCAGGTACACTGTCACTTGAATCCTCCAATTCCATGACATGGATTTGCAGCTTCTTGTGGGTTTAGCCATGTTCTGGTGTGAATGGTTCATCACAGAAATAGCAGAGGCCTTTAGCACGCCTCTCACTCATATAAGCAGGTATGAAGTTTCTGGTTGTTGGTACGTTTGGTTTGTGTGTGTTTAAGGGTTTGGGAGGGTTAGGTAACAATGGTGGTTTGGTTGAAAAGGTAGGCTTAAAGGGTTTAGGTAAGAAGTTCTTATGGGAATCAGAAGTGGTTCTAGATTCATATAATTTGGCTAAAGCAAAGGCTCTTTGGACAGAAACAGGTTGGAACATCCTCACCATCATTTGGATTTCTTGCTTAAGGCCACCAAGAAAGCAACTCAATTGATGTTTACTAGACAGGTTCAACCGAGCAACAATGGCATCGAATTCCTCATGGTATGCAGCCACTGACCCCTTCTGTCTCAACTTCATTAATTCTGCCATAGGATCATCACACACTTCACCAAACCTCTCAATCAAGATTTTGGTGTAACTGTCCCAAGAAGGCAATTGACTCAAACCTACATTCTTGACATAAGCACTATGCCACTGCAGTGCTTTTCCTTCAAAATGCACCACAGCTAGTTGCACTTTGTATTCATCAGGTGTATTATCAACCGAAAAAAAAGTTTCACATTGCATGATCCATTGCTTAACTGCATCACCATTGAATCTAGGGAAATCAAGTCGAGCTAAACGAGTATTACAAGAGTAAGAAGGACGGTCACCACGATTAAAAATCCCTGCACCCGCGGACTGATTTCTTCCCCTAAACACTTGAGTCCGCAATTCTTGAAATTGTTCGTTGATTTGCTGTGTGAAAGAAGTTCTCAAAGATTGCGTCAATGAATCATGAAGAGATTGCTGAAGTGAACCCGCAATTTCGATGAATTTCTCGTCAATCTTCAATTCAAGACGCTCCTCCATCTCGCGCTCCGCAATGCGATTCCTTGTTGATTCTGCCATGTCAAATCCGTGGAAAGTACAGGCTGATACCAGTTGATACAGTAGTTCTAGGTATGAAAAACAACAAAGAACTAGAACAATAGGGATTCTAAGAAGAAAAATAGAATCCGAAAAAATTTTATTGAGTAAGAGATTTAGGAAGATATGGTGCTTACAAAAGAATGGAATGTATTGAATTCTGTTACATTGTACTTATAGCAGAGCCTAGTAACTAACTACTAAAACCATAACAGAAACTAATTTTTATTTAAGTCCTCACACTAATTGAATTATTACAACAAGTCCTCTTATGATCAATATCCTGTATCATCATGGTTCTCGGATGTATTTCATTAAGTAAATTGATTTTCTTTACCTTTTAGGAGAAGTTAATTTTTTGTTTAAATAGGTCCCTCAAAACAATGACATTTGCCCGTGCAAATAAATTTGTCATCCCTAGATGTGATGGAGAAATAAAAAAAATAATAGAGTCGTAAAAAAGTATTGAGGTGTGGTATTAATTCTCATTGTGATTTGTGGGCATATGGTGACGTTCTTGGCCACAAGAGAGTGTTAAGTGAGATTTAAATAATAAAATAGCTTACAATGTTGGCCACGAAACTCATTACCAACACACTGAAGAGAGTGGCTTTACAAATAGTTGGAATACATCAGGGTAGGCTTTTATTTGATTAAAAAAAAGTTTTTTTTTTCTTTACCCATATGACCGTATCATGTTAGTTAACATCATGAAAGGATTCAAATTCCTTTGAATACAAGCCAGTTTCAATGAACATTTTTAATAACCACTTATACGAGAAGAAAAAAAAAAGAAGTAAATAAATCTAATCGTTGTTTAAGATAAAATTTACTAATACACTTGAACTTTCAAAAACTTTTAATATATTTTGTTTACAAATTTAGCAAAGCTATTCATGAGTTTAAAAAGTCTTAAATAGTAAAATTTTATAATTGAAAGCAATTATAAGTTAGAAGCTAATATATAATTTGCATGCTTTAATTACAGTGTTTATATTTTTTTGTATTAAATTAGTAAATTGATTATTTAGCTTTAGTATTGTTTTAGTTTAATGGTGTGTGAAGATGTCGATCTGAGGGTATCGCCTGAGTTGTGAGGGTATTGATTTAAGAGTGTCAACTGTGAAAGTAAACTTCAACTTTAATGGTGGGCGTCGATTGTGAAAATATCAAACTTTGTTGTGATGGTGCGTAAGTCCTAATCTAATTTTTATTTAATTTACAAAAGTGCCATTAATAAAAATTAAATTCTTCGCTTCTTTAGAATTTTTGAGAGAGAAATCAAAAATTAAAAATAAAAACATCACAGGAGCTGTTCTAAATTTTAGTTTTAAAAACTGAAAATAAAAAATTAATTTTAAAAACTTAAATTATCCAACAACTTTTTAATTTTAAAAACTAAAAACTATATTTAAAAGGAAAAACAAACAGCCTCTAAGTAATTCTGATTTTTAGTTTTAAAAACTGAAAATAAAAAGTTATTTTTAAAAATAACTTTTAAAACTTAAATTAACGAACAAGTTTTTATGTTTTTTATTTTTAAAAACAGAAAACTATATTTAAAAAGGAAAAACAAATAGGTCCTAATATACTAATTTAATTTCATTTTTTACAAATCTAGTTTTCGTTCTTGCTTTCATGGTTTTTAGGCCTTAGAATTATTTCAATATGGTCCAAATAAAAAGGCCTTGTAATAATCTATTTTGGATTTTTTTTTTCCTATGTTACATACGTGTATGCTAATAAAACCTTCATTTTTTAGCATTTTCTTGCACAACATACATTACATATTGCTCACAAAATTCTCTATGGCCAGGCTGGCACTAAAAGGGTTGTCGTATTAACTTAGCTAGAGAAGACCAAATAGTGATTGTATTGTTTTTGCTCAGCCACCTGTGAATTTGTAATCGAGGTGTGCTATCAAAATAACCAAGTGAAAGCTTTAATTAACAGTCAATTTAGATGCTAAGTAGAAGTAGCATCTTTAGTATGAGGCAGGGATGGCAAAATTATCCGAATCCACGAATATTTACAGGTTAAAATACTCATACCCATGAATCGATGAGAAAAATAGTAAATTCATTTAAAACTTGCTCAATGGATACTGGGCCGACTATAGAACAGGTAAAAAGGAGAACTTTTTCTTGTTGATACCTAGTCTGAGGGTTATGTTCATCATGAACATTCAAAACAGTCTTTGTAATTGAGATATTTTTGAACATTCAAAATACTACTAGGTTCAGAAAAACACATATTGAGGGTAAAGATGAGTAGTTCCTTTTGCATGTTCATCAACAATAGCAGATGGTAAAGAAGAAATACAGTAGTTTCACTTAGTACTGCACCACAATAGCTTCAATCAAGCATATGTTCTGACATAGATAAGGAGAAGCATAATTTTCTTATTCATGCTTGTCTGTTTTCAATAAAATTAATTCATGTCGGGTTCTTCAAAAATTAAGTCTTGAAAACCATGTATACAAGTGTCAGACACAGAACCTTGTATATTGTTTGTAAAGGAAGTTACTTTGCTAATTAACAGCAAATTATCAGTGGCCTAAATTGTTAAAAAAGAGTCACATTAGATGGCTCCAAAATGCTGATGTACATACATTCTTCAGCTACCAATTGGGGAAGATGTTTGCTTTAGAGCTTCTTCAGGGCTGCCTTCAAGTGTGGTTGAAGAGTTATTGAATTGGTAGCCATCTGAACGTCATAACTAAGAACCCCATCAACCAGCTGGAAACATCTTCTAATCTCTTTAACCTGTTTAGAGCGCAGAAAATATGAGGCATTCAATTTCAGCCCCCAATTTTCTTATTTTATAGAAGTAGTAAAGCTGATACCAAGGTGTTTCCTTAATCTAATTTAGGTAATGATTTATTTAATTTGTTTTACCATTGGCGTTTAGAGTTAAGTATGGCACAAACTATGGTCCAGTTTGGGTAAATTTTTATAAAAAAGCCTAATACATAAGAAAAAAATTAGAACAAAACTTCTCTCACAAGTATATCTTCAAATTTTAGAGAAGTTAAATAAGATAGCTTCTAAAAAAATAGAGAAACATAAGTTTTTCTAACTTACGAGAGAAGTTTTATTCATTTTTTATATTAATTTTTTTCTCTTATAAAAACTTTTAAGTAAAATGAATCAACCTTCTCTCAAGAGTTAAAATCAAGTTACACCTCATTGTTGAGAGAAGTTAAATGAGAAAACTTCTAAAAAAGATAAGTTGCTTTTAACCTTTGAGAGAAGTAAGATTTATTTACCTTATAATTTTCTTTACCTTTAAGTATTTATTGATAAACTTATCAAAACTGGACCTATTTCCTTATTTTCCTATATGTTGTAACAAAACATGATTTAGTGAGAAAAATATAAAAGCAATGATACGAATGTGCATGGTAATATCACAAAAAATCCTTTGGCCAAAATGTACAAAACAAATGTATGATTGAGGAATCGATGATGCATCAACTCAGTTGAAATACAAGAAAAGTGTTTAACACATAGAATGACTTTATCTACCAAAAATTGAAATGTAACCGCCCCCCTTCTCATGCACTAAAGTTCTGTGTTTCTGTTTGCTGTAATCATAATCTTCAGAGATGGTGATAAAAATAATTCCAAAAAAATATCCATTAAAATACAATTTTTGACACATTCATAATACCAGAAGACACCTTGCTAAGATACCTCACTAATGTATGTCAACAATGCAGTTATAAGCATGAGGCATTAGCATTGTTGCATGTGGAAAAGACCAATTTGGATTACCTTAGAAGCATTTCCCACTAATTCACTCTGAAGCTGTATCACTTTCTCTTCAGCATTGTATGCCCCTTTCTGGATAGCACAATAGGCAAGTGGCATATCAGTAGCAGAAGACAATAGAAAAATTAAAAACATGTAGAAATAACTTGCCTCACAGACCTAGAAACAACGAAATAAGCAAGATTTGTATGTCTAATTCAAAACAATTCAATAATGGAAGACAACTATAATCCAGCCAAGATTTAGAAGAATATCTTAATAAGGCAATATGAACAACAATGTATAAACAATTCATTAAATGATTTCTACATCAAGGAATTAGAAATAAATTTATGCAATTGCAATATTACTCTTGCAAACAACAATGGATTGCATGCAATGTTTCAAAATTTGAACATAAAATGTAACATAAAGATGTGTTTGTTATAGTTTGACAAGTAAGGAATAAATTTAAGAATTTAGGCCTGGTCCAACGGGTAATATATATCAAAAGAAAATCAGGTCAAGACAAGAAATTGATCAAGGGATTCAGATTGAGCTATCTTCAAATGAATTAAGGTGACAGAATATTGGAGTAGTACTTAAGATGACAAGAAATTGATTAAGGGATTCAGGTACAAGGGCATTGGAGGCACCAGTGAGGAGAGTGGATAATATGACTTTCAGAGCACTTTTAAGGAATTTATTAAAAAGATCTACTGATGTATAGTATATAAGAGAATTTGAATTTTGATCGAGCTTAGTAGTGTTTTTGTAATTCATGTAGCTAAACTTACCAAGTGAGATGATGCTTAGTTATTATTGTTGTTGTGCTATCTCCAAATGAAAACTGAGGAATTATGCTAACTAAGAGTTGATGGGGCATTAAAACCCACCATTCCTAATTTCCTATATAGTATACAGAATACAGAGACACTAGTATGAAGCCAATTAGTCAAGCAGTGTGTGTATGACACAAAAGCAAATCAAATTGAAAATTAGTACCTGAACTTCAACAAGACCAGTGCTCTGAGCAATGACAACTTCAATGGTTCCATCAGGCTTAGGACGCCAGTATCCACTCTCAGCATGCATAGGCTCTCCAGAGCTAAGTTTCCATGTCTTCTGAGTGTACCCTATGACTGGCTACACCCATTTCACACACACACAAATAAAAAAATAAATCAATGCACAATCACAGATACACACACACAACAAAGAGAGAAGGAGAGAGAGACTTTGTGGGATGTCTCCTCAAGTGTATATTTTAGCAAGGCAAATGCTAACATGAATGAAGGCCACTTATTTAGGAAATTTAAAATTTTTTTTTTTATTAAACACTATTATTATTGCATTTATAACATGATTTTTAATGCACTCTTATAGTGATTTTTAATAGAAGTTTTTGTTTATTAATTATTAACCAGTATCTTCAAGGCACTAATCACTGAGACCCAAGAAACAAAAGACAAAAATTTACATTAACATATGTTACTGTTTTCTAATTATAATTGGTTAAGTTAACCCTCTTTATTTCTGAAGCAAGAAAATAAGAAAAAAAATGAAATTTAAATTGAAAATTGGAAAAAAATTATTTTTATTTTCTCTTAAATTAAATAAAAAAATATATAAATATTTTTATTTTCTGTTTTCTTTCATATCATCCAAATCATAAGGGTAAATTGACTAATTTTAATTAATGAACTGAACCGTTACTATGCTAATTTAGGTTTATAAGAGAACGTTATATATATTTTTTACTCTATTCTTAAATTTATTTTGATAAATTGCATGATTAAAATAAATTTATAATATAAAAATTATTGAATTAATCGTTAAATAAGTTGTTTACCAAAAATTCCAAAATTAATGAAGTTTAGCCACATTTCTTTAATTATTTTGAGTGTTTATTTTTCCAGTTAAATATGTGATATTTATTTTGATGATTAGCAATCACATTAAATAATCACATAATTTTTTAAAAAAAAATATAATTTTGATAAAAATACAGTAATAAAAAAGAGAACCTTGTTGGGGGAATGGGAGAAGTGAAGCTCTTCAGCATAGGAGAAAGAATGGATGGTGGGAAAGCCTCCTTCTCCTTGGCCTCTCCATGTGCCCAAAAGGTATGAGAGTGGTTCCACCGCCGGGTGCACCACCGCCGGCGATGTTTTCGGTGCCGTAGACCCCTTGTTCTTGTTTTCATCCATCGTTGGAAAATTTTTGATTTTGTGTCCGTGCAATCCGAAACAGAGCTCTTTGCCTTTGTTATTGTTGATGTCTCTTGTCTGGCCCCACCCTTCTAAGTACCCTGTTTCCAATGCTTATAATTTCAGTTTATTTTGCACATTAATGTTTAAACATTTTTCTTAAAAATTGATATAATCAAAGAATAGAGCTAATAAATGGACTAACTTCCTGGGGCCGAATCAGGGTCTCTTCGATTTCCCATTGAAATTTGCGTTTTAAAGAATTGAATTTTTTCTATTTTAAGATAATTATGTTATAATATTTTTTTACTTAGTAATATTTAACAATAAATATAGGTTAAGTCATCGATGTTCTATCACTTAATCTACATTAAATTAAGTTAGATCAAATTTATTTATTATAAGTTATAGAGATTATTTAAATTTTTTTTAGCTCAATAGATTGATTTTTATAATAATAAATTTATGAAAAATAAAAATGTTTTAATTTAATTTATTTATTTAAACAAGTTAGATTAAAATTAACAAATTTTAAAACTTAGTCTTTTTATAATTTTGAATAATTTTTTATTAATTTTGTATTTAATAAATAATTTTAATGTAATAAATAAAATAAAATATATTTTAATCTATATAAAAATCACTTAAAGTTAAAAATTAAAAAATTATTATAAAAGTAATATATTTATTTTTAAAAAAAATTATGTCATTTATTTAAAATATGTCTTAAAAATTAAAATTAGATAAACATTACACGTACAATAAATATGATAAAAAAATATATAAATTTTAAGTTAATTCTTTTATGGTTATAGATTGATATTATTTATTTTCTCAAAATCATAATTTTTATACTTTTCATTCATATTGTATAATTTTCATAGTATGAAAAAGATAAATATGTGTACAAAGATTTATAATTTAAAATTTATTACTTTTATTTTTTAAAAAACTATAAAAGATTTTATATATATATATAAACTTACTTATCGAGAAAAAACAAACTGGCGAGGGGGTTCAAAGTGGGTAATTGGTTGGAACTGTTGATCCATCTGCGGCAGAAGAGAGAATGAACAAAGGAGGGTTGGGGAGTGGTGGCGCTGCCGGAAGCGGCCCCACAGCGGCGGCAGCGGCGGCGGCGACTCAGAAGCAGAAGGCGCTGTTGCAGAGAGTGGAAGGTGACATCGCCAATATTGTGGACAATTTCAGCCACCTTGTCAATGTTGCCAGTGTATCTTACATTTCCCTTCTTTTCTTTCAACAACTACTTGTTTGGATTAAATTCTAAATCAAATGCTTTTCAGAGGAAAAAAGAAATAGGGTTTAGCAAACAACACTTAGTGATGTAATAATGTTCAGTTCACCCAATTATTAATTAGTCATCTTTGCTGTGTGAATTTGTAGTTTCTTTACTATGATAGTCTTTGTGTTTGTAAGTTCCATTTTGATACCATATATATTTTAAGGCTGTTCGTATCACTAATGTTACTGAGTTTTAGCAAAACTGAAAATTTTGTATTTTTTCTTGTATATACCAAAGGTACCCCCATTTGATAGCCAGATACTATTCCCTTTATTTGGAAATGTAAAACAACAAATTCTTCTTTACACACATAGCTGAGAATTTTTTAAAAAATTAGGGGCTGTTTGGTTTCAGAAAAAAAGTTTTTTGTTTTTATTTTATATTTTTGCATTTAGTTACGAAATTGTTATTTTACTTTCATTCTGTTTCCTATTTTCAAAGTTTTATACAAGTAAAACAAAATGGAATAAGGTGATCGTTTTATAATTAAAAATGAAAATAGAAAATGAAGACTGAAAATGTTTTTGGAAACCAGACAACCCCTTACTTTCACTAAACATAGCTTTGGGAATCATTTAGTTCCGGTTATTTTAAAAAAAACACACTCTTTATTGTTTTAATAAGTGATGATTCAGGCATACCATGTATTGCATCTTGGACATTGATGTTTTGGTTGTATATTTACATGAAAGCACATATAAGCTCGACACCATGGTTTTAAATTGAAGCTTGTAACTGCAGCCACATTTCCCTGCAGTTTCAGTAGCCCACCAACACAACTGTGGCAACAACCGTAATTTAAAACTATGTCTGACACCATGTGGATAACCATATCCAACTAATCTAAAATTTCATTGTGTGTGTCAGATATTGGAATTTTCTTCATTTTATCTCGTATAGAACAATGGTCTTTTTAAAACTTTACATGTATCTAGTCCCATTTAGAAGTTGTTGCTTGTTCACATTACCTTGCATTCTTGTAGGTAAATGATACACCAGTCAGAAATTCACAGGAAGCTTTTATGATGGAGACACGTGCTGCTAGGATGGTAAGAGTGTAGTTCTGTTGGTTCTTATGCTTTTGTGCAAGCATACCTACGAAGACATTGTTTTTGAATTTGAGTTTTATTCATCAAAATTTTGTGTTATTGTGGTGGGGGTTTGCTTGTACCTTACCACGTATTTGACTGATTGAATGTGTCTAACAACTACGACATTTCACACTTTGTAATTAGTTCTTTATGTGGCATATTTTAATCAATGCTCGTAGATATAGTTGAATTATAATTTAGATGTTTTTGTCGTTTGTTCATACTAAATTATTCATTTCAAAAGTCACTCTAGTATTCTGTGCATTGTTCTGGATGGCTTGTTTAATATGGTCAATATGACTGGTTTTGTGTTGCCTTTTAAGGATTATTTAGATATTTTCTTTTTCCCCATTTTATCATATTGATCAATCACATAGCTATTAGAATCTTGTGATTCACAATTACAATTTAGGACCGTATGATTTGATGAAATTCAGCTAACCAGCAATTTTGTCTCATATGATGAATCTTAAATTTTAGACTTTGATTATTACAATACATGGATGCATCAGTGCAATTTCATATCATTGATACGAGTCAATGTAGCTTACTTTTATTTCTTCCAAAATAAAAGCTTCACACTAATTTATTCCGTTATCATGATTTATGATTTGTGATTCAACAATTAGCTTGGCTATTCACGATTTGAATCTCAATGGGATAACCTTGATCAATCACACAGGTCCAGGCAGCTGATTCTCTACTTAAGTTGGTATCGGAGCTGAAGCAGACTGCCATATTTTCAGGATTTGCTTCTCTTAACGATCATGTAGAACAAAGAAGGGTTGAATTTAACCAGCTGGCTGAGAAAACAGACCGCAATTTATCTAGAATTGGAGAGGAAGCTGCTGCTATTCTGAAAGAACTTGAATCTCATTATTCTTCTTCTGCACAGAAGACTACGCAAAACCAGCAAACATAGTTGAGAATCTATCAATGTAGTTGCACCTATCAGTTGATGGAAGATACTTTTCTAGTATAAACGTAGGTTTTTTTTTTTTCCTTGTTAATTTCTTCGTTTGGATGACTGTAATACAGGACTGGATAGTAGAAACTGTTATTCCATTACTGAGAAAATGGTAAGGAAATAGCCTTATGTTGAATACAAGGAATGTATGTATGGATGTATTTGGCATTGTTGGATGAGTAATTAACTGGAAGGGAAAAAAATCACTGTGCCCTGTTTGAAATGATTACTAATTACTGAGATACGGGCAATCTAGCTTTAGTAAAAGGTGTCTTGTCTGAAATCAGTTTTTTCTTGTCTCAATATTACTAGATGTTTCAGACAACAAAAATGAATGGCTTAGCTTAAAGGAAGGCATAATCATACAAATATATGGTGTTTGATGTGCTGACATGGGCTTTGTTGTTTAAGATGTTTCGCTTTGTATGTAATATCTTCTTAATCTAATATGAAAATTTTATGAAGTAGGCATTTACTTCCCATATTTTTTAAAAATAAATATCCGTTCACTTGGTTGTATATATTACTTTGACTATTTTATAACATGCTGGGAATTAATCATATCGATCGAAAGCACAAGAAGTTCATGTTTTAATCGTTAATATTTTAGTTTAGTTCAATTACATGTCTTCTATTGTCAGGTATAAGTTAAACAGGAGTATGTAATACCTCTAATTTTGTAATATTAATTATTGTTATGTATATAAATTTAAATGCATATATATGTGTGTACAAGTGTAAATAAATGTTATGAATTTACATTGGATGCATAATGATGGTGTTTTGTGTGTAATGAGTATGAATATATGTGCATATATGTATGTTGGAGATGTGTGTATGTATGTAGGTGTATGCATGACTGGATAGGGTTGAAATGGGCTAAATGCCTAAGTGCAGGGCGTAATACTGGGCTGTTCTCGCTGCAGCGAGAGTGCCTTGGGAGAAAAGACTGAAATTGTTACCTTCTCGTTGTAGCAAAAAAATGATAGTTTAGGGTGCATTTCTGGGTGCAGTCTCGCTATAGTGAGATTCTGCAGAAACCAGAGTGCAATTTTCTCTGATTTTTTTGCTGCAGCGAGGGGACCTGTCGCTGCAGCAAGAATATCTCGCTGTAGGGAGAGTGTCGCGACCAGAAAAGGATTTAAAAAGGGTTAGGGTTCGGAGAAAGTTATTTCTCCCTCTCCTTTTGAAATTCCTTTGATCCTCTCGTTCTCAAAGCCCTATTCCACTGATTAATTGCCTCCAAAGCCGTTCGGGAGCTTGATTGAAGGTTGAATCCGTGTGGGAACGCTTGGAGGTGAGTTTTAATGGTTAGGGTTTTGGTTTTTCATCCCCTTTCTCTGTTTTCGTGGTTTCCCTGGGTTCTCATGGAGTTTCTCTATGTGTTTAGGATGAAATTCGTGAGGGAAAGCACTTCTTGGTGGATTTAGCGCGTGAGATGCCAATCCAAGTAAGATGAGACTTTATTCTACTCTTTTGTGCAATGAATTATTGTTATTTTGCCTAATATTGTGTTGTGGCTGAGTTAGGGAGTAAGAAATTGTTGAGAAATGTAATGTAGGCCATGTGCCGTGATATGTGAACATTATGTGTGTTGACCTGAACTTGATGGATGTAGACTGTATGTAAATGTTGCAAGATAGATGAATATTGGCTATGTGTCATGTGATGTGAAATGAATATGGGCCTAGTGCTGTGTATTTGAATGCAATGTGAGTTATGTGCCGTGTGTAAGCATGATCATTGTATGTGTGAATGGAATATATGTGTGAATGGGCGTATTAGCGCCGTTGTGATGTGCTGTGAATGGTTCAGCGATACACTAGAGGTGTGGAAGATGAGGACGGTAGGAATACCTTGGGGAGGAGAGAGTGGTGGTGACACCGACTGCGGAACAAGTGCATCACAGGTGGCGACCCGTGACTGCCCACGTGGTATCCATGATGCGGGGGTAATCGACGACCATTCATGATGTAAATCTGTGATCATAGTACTATAATGAGTGTGGCTGGTATGCATATGCACGAATTTGTATTTTGTACTTATGGATGTGAATTGCTACCTATGATTTTGTGTGTTGAATGTATTGGGGAGGTTCTGAAGGTAAGACTCTATGTTGATTGTGTGTTTTGGGTAGTATAGAGTACTCATTTTTACATTCATTTTTCAGATAATCAAGACGATTAACACCGGATTCAGTGAAGGGATAGATAGACCACTATAGGACTTAGTTTTTATTTTAAAATTTGCTGTAACTAAATTAGTCTTGTAGTAATCATTTGATATTAATTTGTAACTCTTCCCTTATTTTGAAGTATTTTATGAAAATTGGTTATTTGAATTTGTGAAATTCTTATTAAATTGAAATTAAATTTAAAATGTTAGAGAGCATAAACTAAGATGATTAAACTAGATTATTTCATATTTATATATCTTATTTATGTTTGGACTGTTAAGATTTTTGTGTAACACGGCTACCTTAGCCTAAATGAGGTTAAATGGTTTAAAATGACTGTTTAACATTAACTTCAACTTCAGATTAAAGAAATTAAATCTATAAGAGGGGATGAGGGGAAGGAGATAAACAACAAAGAGTTTCTCAAATATTTTATTCCCATCAAAATTAGGAGCAGTGAGGCGAAAAGACTTTTATTTTAAAAAGTTGTAAATAATCGTGTAACCATGCAGTTCTAGTTATTACAAAAATATAAAATATATTAAAGTTTAATAATTACCAAGACTATAAAATTTAGTCATTAATCTAACTTCCAAAGAGTGCGAGGGTTATGGTCACAATTTAAGTGGCTAGTCAACCGCTTCTATGGAATCAGTCAATTACTATTATTATCGTTTTTTAATTACATATTTTATCCTTCTAGTTTGAATAATATATAATTTTGGTCTTTTAATATTTTTAAACTAATTAAGTTTCTTTTCATTTAATATTTTAAAAAATATTTTATTTATTTTATTTTAATTAAAACTCCTAAATTTTATTTTTTACTCATTTTTTTATAAATTAAATCAATTAAATTATATTTTTTCCAAATACAAAATAATATTAATAATATGAGTAAGTGAAGATGAGAGGGGGAGAGATGGAGAGGATTGTATGGCCAATTGGATAAGTTTCTTCACTTTCTTGCCAAATTGATATGAACAATATTTTCTCTGAGAAAAAAAATAAAATAATTAATAATCTTTTAAGTGTAAGTTTCAGAGTGCAACTTGCACTTCCGAGAAAACAAAAAAAAAGAAGCTAAATACATGAATCTTAAGGCTAATATATTTATTAATTTAAAAATAAAAAAATAACTTAAAATATCTTCCAAATAGTGACATAATGGGTGCACTTGTGCTCTCTAAGCTATCACTGCGAGAGCTATAACCACTCCCTGGACCTTGATTTGTGGTCTTTGTGAGAATTGATCAATATTTCTTGTGTTTCATCCATAAATACAGATGGGCTACAATTCGTCAGAAGAACATCATGAGACACACCAAAGTGCTCATAGTTGTGCAAATTCAGGAAACAATTCACCAACTCATCCCACGAATGTGAAACCATGCAGCAAAAGATTCTAGCACAACTATCCACACAGCAAGTGAAGATGGACACTTGGACCAGGTTTCTAAAACTGATGCAAAGTATATCTAAACCTCAGAAATTAATACCACCAAACAGGAACATACATGATTTCAATACTCAGCACCAGAGTCCAAGCACAAAGATGCCTCCAAATTCTGATCATTCATTTACTTCACAAGGATTGCCAACACCAAATGCAAAGGGAATGGCTACCCATACAAAGACCACAAATCAAGGTCCGGGGAGTGGTTCTAGCTCTCGCAGTGACAGCTTAGAGAGCACAAGTGCACCCATGCACGATATCCTACTTATGTATAACGTCTTACAGCATAAAAAACAATCGTAAATACATAGAGATATTTTTTATTTTAATTATTCTTGAACAGTAATTGTTTTTTTTTTTGTTTCTTTTAAAAATAAAAAAATGAAGATGTTTTAGCTATGTAAAGAAAACAAGTTATGTTGTTATTGTAAATAAATGGAGATTTTTTTATTTTAATTATTCTTGAACAATAATTTTTTATTTTTCTGTTTTTTTTAAAGACAAATGAAAATAGTTTAGGTATCTAAAGAAAACAAGGTACATTGTTATTGTAAATAAAGGGATATATTTTTTATTTTAACTATTCTTGAACAATAATTTTTATTTTTTGTTTCTTTTAAAAATAAAACAAATGAAGATATTTTTGCTGCCTAAAGAAAACAAACTTTCATGATTGAAACAATTTTTACTCTTCTTTCTAATTTAAATTAATAATACGATAATTGTTATTTAAAAGAATAAAAAGTGAAAGTGATTTTCACATACACAAATGAATATGACAGGTTCCTAAAAAAAATTATGCTACAAGCTAGAAAACTGTGAACAACCACATCTATCAGAAGAATTGTAGGTCAATATCTATAGAAAAATTTGGAGGAAAAAAGTAGAAATTGTTTTGATTCAAAGTTGTTTTCTGTTAGATGAATGTTCTTTATGATAAACTTAAGTTGTCTTTTATGTGGAAAGACTCATATGAAAGTAGGATGACATGTACCATTGTTCTAAAATTAGTTTAATTCGATTTTTTTAATCTTTAAATTAATAAATATATGAGTTGGACTTATTATCCATTCTAAAAATTAGATCATATGCATGGCAAATATTCAACAACATAATAACATTATTTTTTTGTTTCCAATAGTTCCCATGTAAAAATTATAATATGTCATTGTAAGGTGGGTAAAAAGGAGAGGGTGGCGGTTAAACTGTCAATTCCATTTGGGAGAGAATATAACGCTTATCCATTCTTTTTCGTAGCTGTGACCATTTCCTCTCTCTCATTAAGAACACATTCTATTATGTGAAGCACTGCACTCAATAAAATGACATTGGTTTTCATATATTCTTGATTTGCCTTTTTTTTACATCTAAATATTGGACTTTTCCTAATTGTGGTCATGTTGCTATCTTCTATCTATTGTTCCACAATTTGCTCTCATGATATCCTAGTGTTTTTGATGATGGGTGGTGGTGGTCCAATGAAGAACCAGCTCATTTTCAATACCCCATGTCATTTCCTTCCTAACTAAACCAACCACCACCCCTTTTCTCCCATTCATTTTTGAGTCTCTTCTTGAAGAAAGGAAAGTTTTTATATTCATTTGACCATGCACCCTGAAACATAACTGTAGGTTCTTAGATAACCTGAGGAGTTATCAGGATTAATGCAATTTTTTACTTTCAAGTTTGTCCTTCACTCCCTGAAATCTCTTGTCTCTTTATTCATGTCACATCAATCTTCAATATGTATGCCATAATGGATTGTTTTGTTCATGTGCCATTGCTGTGACAAACATTATTAAATGATTAGTTTGCTAATCATTAAAAATAAAATTATTCTTGCTTTCTCATTTCTGACTTTGACCATGTCTTGTTTGCATTGCATTCCTTTACGTGGACACCATGAACTTAGTTTTTGGTTCTTTATGATTTTGACATTTATATCATGGCATCATGCATGTTCAACAATAAGGCCTCTTTTTCCCTATAACTTAAGCATATTGGCTCACAAATAGAACTTCAAATTACATTTTAGTTTGTGGATACATGCTTTCACATTATAGGCAGTAAGCAAGAAGTGAGTACCAAGAATTACATATATTAAATATATTTTTTTAGCCTCTGAGACAGAAAGTACTGTAAAAATCATTCAATGATTATATTGTTGATTTGTTTCTACAGTTTATGTTACATCACCAGATAAGTAATTTTCATGTGTTTTTTCCTTTTTCAGGAATTCCTCTTTAGGGGTGTTATTTTGACATCAAAGCCTGTCAAGATGCCTGATTTACCTGAGGTAAGAGTTTCATCATGGCTGTTTATTTCTATGCATCCATAATTACCAACAAAATGCAATCATAATGCATCCATGGTGAAAAAAATAAATGACATGAATTCTTTTGGAATGAAACATGAGCAAATCACTCATGATTGTGAGAATTGATCAATATTTCTTCTGTTTCATCCATAAATACAGATGGACTACAATTCGTCAGAAGAACATCATGAGACACACCAAAGTGCTCATAGTTGTGCAAATTCAGGAAACAATTCACCAACTTATCCCACAAATGTGAACCATGAAGCAAAAGATTCTAGAACAACTATCCACACAGCAAGTGAAGATGGACATTTGGACCAGGTTTCTAAAACTGATGCAAAGTTGCAAAGTATATCTAAACCTCAGAAATTAATACCACCAAACAGGAACATACATGATTTCAATACTCAGCACCAGAGTCCAAGCACAAAGATGCCTCCAAATTCCGATCATTCATTTACCTCACAAGGATTGCCAACACCAAATGCAAAGGGAATGGCTACCCATACAAAGACCACAAATCAAGGTCCGGGGAGTGGTTCTAGCTCTCGCAGTGATAGCTTAGAGAGCACAAGTGCACCCATTAGGCCACACACTGGTGGTGATGTAAGGTGGGAAGCAATTAACATGGTTTCCAAGAGTGGCCCTCTCAATCTTAGCCATTTCAGGCTTCTAAAGCGCATTGGTTATGGTGACATTGGAAGTGTATATCTTGTGGAACTTAAAGGAACTAAGACCTACTTTGCTATGAAAGTGATGGACAAGGCTGCACTTATAAGCAGAAACAAGCTTCTGAGAGCACAGACAGAAAAGGAGATTCTTGGACTTCTTGATCACCCCTTCCTTCCCACTTTGTATTCTTACTTTGAAACTGATAAGTTTTACTGTTTGGTCATGGAGTTCTGTAGTGGAGGTGATCTTCATACTCTTAGACAGAAACAACCTAACAAGTGTTTCACTGAAGAAGCTGCAAGGTAAGTATTACCTTACTGCTGCATTTTCTTTTACGTTCTTCCATGTTTCTCCATTCTTTTTGCAACAGATTCAAAAGTACTTGATATAAATTGAGCTATTATGTTGGCCCTCACATTTGCAACACTGAATTGAACTTGGCAATCTGTGTTAAATTTTGTGCAAAGATACAGGGTTAAGGATCCAGTGTTCTAAAGACACTTGTTAAAGATTATTATATATGCTCAATCATTTTATTAAACACTCATTCCAATCATTTATATAAGAAACAAATTTTATTATTTTTGGTCTTAATTATAAGAAGAAAAAAGACTCATTTTCAAATATATTAATTAAAAAGTTCTTGTTATACTCTTATTGTAAAATGTGTCACAGGTGTTCAATGTAAGTAAAAATATTTAGCTATTTAGTATAATAGTCACAGGTATTCATGAGTTAGGTTGGGTGAGTTTTGATATAAAAAATAATTCTTATCAAAATTTCATGAATTAGGTTGGATTAATTTTGGAAAGAAAAAAAAAACTTCACCTAACTTGAACCAATCTGACCACAAATAATTGCTCCTATAATCATTGCTCCATGCATTATCCTTTGCCAATTCCTCCTATAAACAGTGACTCATTTTTTCCCCTACTTTTATGACTCCTGTTCACCCTTCGATTTCACCTTTCCGATAACAATTTCTAGATCAACTTAAGAAGTTCATGCTCAAATTTCTTGTGACAGGTTTTATGCTTCAGAGGTATTGTTAGCTCTGGAATACCTACACATGCTTGGCATTGTATACAGAGACTTGAAGCCGGAGAATCTTTTGGTGAGAGATGAAGGGCACATCATGCTCTCAGATTTTGACTTGTCCCTTCGCTGTTCTGTGAGTCCTACACTAGTCAAGTCTTCATCAGCTCATGCAAGTAATAGTGGTGGTGGTGGTGATTCTGGAGGCATGTTAGGTGATGACCAATCAGTGCAAAGTAGTGCTCAACCATCAAGTTTTTTCCCACGCATTTTGCCTTCAAAGAAGAACCGCAAGGCAAAATCAGACTTTGGCCTATTGGTTGGTGGAGGAAGGCTTCCTGAACTGATGGCAGAACCAACCAATGTGCGTTCAATGTCATTTGTAGGAACACATGAATATCTTGCTCCTGAGATCATCAAAGGAGAGGGTCATGGTAGTGCAGTGGATTGGTGGACTTTTGGTATCTTCTTGTATGAGCTGTTGCATGGAACAACCCCTTTTAAGGGTGCTGGATATAAAGCCACACTTTTCAATGTTGTTGGACAACCACTGAGGTTCCCAGAAACTCCACAGGTAAGTTCTGTGGCTCGTGATCTCATTAGAGGGTTGTTGGTGAAAGAGCCTCAGAAGAGAATTGCATACAAAAGAGGAGCTACAGAGATAAAACAACATCCATTTTTCGAGGGTGTGAATTGGGCTCTTGTCAGAAGTGCCACACCTCCTCATATACCAGATGCCATAGACTTTTCCAAGTATGCTAGCAAAGACACAGCACCCCCAGTTGACAAGAAGATGGCAGATATTGCTAATGATAAAAACACCAAAAAATCTTCTGATTCTTACGTAGACTTTGAGTATTTTTAGCAGCAAGAATCCCTTATATTTCAGGTAAAATTATACTTCCTTAAAAAGAATATACTGTACAAAGTGTCACTTCTTTCCCAAAAGAAAATTGGATACATCCCTGAGAAATATACATTGTAAACATAAATTTGTTGAAAGAACATTCTTTTTTCCCATGTTTTTCTTACAATGTCTTTAATGCTGTTGTAAGGACAACCAAAGTAGCACTATTGTTTGCAAAATTCAGTTTAAGAATATGTTTTGATAATGAAAAAAATATTATTCAGCCTTTCATAATTACCAGTATGGAGCTTGTAGTACACGGCATGCGTTCTTCAGATGATGAATTCTAATAGCTGAAGCAAAATGCAATTAAAAGTGTTAACAGTGAGGCCCCCTCCCCCCCCCCCCCAACATTTTCCCCTTCTGTGTCCCAATTTTGATGATCAAGTATATGAAACTAAGAAGCAATAGAATTCCCCTCCAAGAAAGAAAAAGAAATATGAAAGAACTGAAGAACATTTATTGGAGAATTTCATCTTGATCTTCACAGCTTTGACTGTGAAGATAATCTTCTTCTCAGCTCCTCGGCAACAGCATCAATGAAATCTTCAGTATTCAAATACTGGGACCTAGAAACCCTATATATAAAAATAGAGCAGGTAGTTTTAATTTGTCATGCATTAAAAGAAAAATCAATAGCTAGCATTCTGAAAGAACAATCACAGTGCCAGAAATTACTTAGGTCCATGAACAAGAAGCGCAAGATCCTTTGTCATCTTTCCCAATTCAACTGTTCCAATGCAAGCTGCTTCAAGTTTCTCCGTGAAGTCCAACAATTTAGCATTTCCATCTAGCTTTGCCCTGCAAAAATCAGGGTGCATTAGAAAAGAGCACTACGATGATATAGTTTTTCAATGTGTTTGGATAAGGTTTTAAAAGAAAGTGCTTATATGACATATCCTCTTACGAGTTGTTTTTTTGTACACCTTATATAATTGTTATAAAAGTTTTGAACCTGTTTTTAATGAAAAAATCTGTTTCGATAAAAGCACAAATGGGTCCATTTTTAGAGCTATCTTTCAAAAGCTCCTTTTTCAACTTACAAGAAAAGCATTAGAACATCTTATTGTTAGATTTTTTGCTTCTTTTTTTTTTTTTTCAAACAAAATATTGTATATTTTTGACATGTTTCTAATTAAAGAACACTTTTCCTTAAAAAAGCACAAACAAATAGCCCTTGAATCCACTCAGTCTTCCTCCTGTAGTATTATGAACTAAAATGGATAAATATCAATTACTAAGGATTCTAGCATAAAGAAAAAATTATCAGATGACTTTCAATCACAGTACTTACCGATGTGCAAGACCTCGTGACCAGGCAAAAATTGAAGCAATACTGTTTGTACTGGTTTCACCTCCCTTCTGATGAACCCGATAATGACGGGTAACAGTGCCATGGGCTGCTTCTGCTTCAATGGTTTTCCCATCCGGGCAAACCTGTTACCAAATTTAGCTTATTGAACATCCACACTAGAAATGCAACCAAAGGAAGGACACAAAGAAACAAATAAAGGTTATATATGAAGAGAAAAGGGAAATACTACAAAGGGTTAGAAAAGCAATACCAGTACTGATGTCATCAAGCCAAGAGAACCAAATCCTGTTAAATGGAAACTATTGGTATGAATTTCTAGAAACCTTGGCCTATCCATTTGCTTAACAGAAGCAACAAAACTATCAATATCTAAAAACTAAGTGAAAGTCACGAGCATATGCATATCCACCTTGTGCTAAGAAATCACTCTGCACATCCCCATCGTAATTCTTACAGGCCCATACATAACCTCCATCACTTTTGAGAGCATAAGCAACCATATCATCTATAAGACGGTGTTCATACCTAAGAATCAAGAATATGAATTAACAATCTTCTTATGAAAAACATTTTGATTATCATGGCAAACAATTTAACTGACCATATTCCTGCAGCTTTAAATTTGTGGCTCCATTGACTGTCAAAAACTTCCTGGAAAATGTCCTTAAATCTTCACAAAAGCAAAGAGTAAAATATGTGCTTGAGGGTTTGATTAACTACAATTAAATAGTATCACTTAGAATTGAAGAGAAGTTAAATATAAAGAAAGATGACCAGCAAATATACCAGCATACCTTCCATCATATTTCTTTAGAATGGTATTTTTAGTGCTAAGATAGAGAGGCCATCTTTTCTGGTGAGCAATGTTCATCGAAGCTTCAGCAAAAGCTCTAATGGACTGTTTCCAGACCAAATACAACATAAAATTATTTACCAAAGCAGTTAAAATTCTTTCTGAGAAGAATAATCAAAGGAAACATCATCCAAATGCAAACCTCGTCAGTATTATACATGGACAAAGCTATGCCTCCAACACCGGTAAAGTTATAGACCTCTAGATCTTTAGTTTCTTCATTTCCACTGGGTGCTGTAAATGCAAAACTGAACATCATAAGATCCCTTAATTTTATGGACGTCTCTAACTCTTTGATCTATTAGGAATTGACAGCAATCATAGTCTCAACTTTTGTAGGGCAATTTTGCAACTTCATTAAGATTATATTTTTAAACTACTTAAGTCATGAGAAACAGTGGGCTGGAGAATCAATTTACCAAACACCAATTTTAGTTTTCCTGGGCCGTTTATAATGGTATCAGTTGCCCGATATTGATCTCCAAAAGCATGTCTTCCAATGCATATTGGCTTTGTCCAGCCTAAACAATAGTTAGATAGTAATTAACACTTGCTATCATAAACTAAAATTCAGAATTTCAAAATCAAACAAGTTTATGAACCTGAAACCAGACGAGGAATGTTTTTACAGATAATTGGCTCTCTAAAAACTGTACCTGTAGGACATAAAGGTTGAATGTTTCCCTGAATGTCAGCTAAAATTTAGACCACAAAGAAGGGTTACAAAAACAATTAGAAAGTTTAGTTACCATTTAAAATGTTCCGGATTGTCCCATTTGGACTTTTCCACATTTGTTTTAAGTTAAACTCCTTGACACGAGCTTCATCTATGAAAAAGAAAATCTTTGCATGTGAATTTTACTTATAATGGCATAGGCAACAAGTTAATACACAACCTTACGTCAATATGATGTGGGGAGCAAGCATAATTCCAAATTAGAACAATTATGAATACCTGGAGTTATAGTTGCACATTTGATAGCTACATTATATCTGCAATGAAAAGAGAAGAGAAAAGAAAAGAAAAGGAATAACATGGCAAAGTTAGGAGGCCTTAGTGAGTATGATAAGTTTCTCTAATAATTAACACTAAAAAAGGGAAAGCTTTTCTATTCCACAGAATTCAAAAAATTGATATCATTCAAAACATAAATTGGTTTGGTTTATTTAAGTTGATAACATGTCACCAAAAACATTCAGAAACTATACTCCTCTAGCCGGACTACATAGCATTCTCTTTTCCTTCTAACCTAGTTTCTTCTAACAATTCCATATTCTACAGTATCTATCGTATTTACAGTATTAAGCATATTAAATATTTAGTCTTCATCTCCATTAAATCATGTATTTTTTTAATTACACATAAATGAAATTAGCCTAAACCACTACTATTGGGATGGAACATTGCACCCTTTTATACATCCACACATATTTGGAGGAACCCTCGCAGCATCAATTTCCAGAATTGTATAACAGGGAGCCTCCACAATGGATTTATCTTGGGGAAATAAACATATCAGCATGTCAAAAAGGGATACTACAGGTGAGACCCAATTTCAAGCTTATAGTGAGACAAATGGTACATCTACTGTTGAATCTACAGCTTGGCAGCATTGAAACCTGAGTGAGTTCAGTTATCGTCTGCTAAGAACACAAGTGTATGAGTGAAAAACAACAATTTACCACTTGATTGAGCAACACATTTACACACTGTTCAGAATTTGATCACAATTTTGGCTAAGAAGATATCTCTAAAATATCTAGATAAACGAAATATCTTGATTGAAATCCAGATTAGTGAAGAGTCAGTATGACTATGCACTGAATCCTATTTTTGGGACAGGTAATAAAGATAGGTATGGATTTCCTTTTTAACAGTATCACAATTGTCAATCTTAACAATGATCATGGAAGAAATAATTAATATCAAAGTAACTGATAGCAACAAATGATACATAATTTCATGAAGCCTCCAAGCATAAAAGAGCACATACTTGAGTGTAGCTTCAGCACTCTCAATGGTAACTCTATCATTAGTGGCATCCCGATGAGGAAGGCCAAGGTCAAAATACTTAATATCCAGCTCCAAATAAGGGAAAATAAGCTGCAAAAACGTAGAAAAACAAAAGGGATAAAACACAAAAATAAAACCATAGGAAATCTTGACTCATCAAGATAAATCAAGAAGATAAAACTACCTTATCTTTTATCAATTTCCATATCACTCGCGTCATTTCATCTCCTACATGTGCAGAAAATGAAAGATTGATTATTCAGATAAAAGAAAAAAAGTCAACGATGTTTTCAAATACCAATGGAAACATCAAAGATTACAGAATACAAATTCTCCGAGGATGAGACCCCCATTCGAACTTAATTCTCAATAGGTGTTTGTTTGATATACAATTGAAAAATCAATTCCAGCACTTTCCAACTAAAAATAATGTTTCAATAAAAATCTATGAAAAAAATAATTTTAGCACATATCTCAATTAGATCTAACGATACAAAATTAATTTCATCGAATCAATTGTACTTAATTTTTAAACAAACACGGTTTAAATCACATACAAAAATATCAAATTTAAGAAAGGAAGAGACCCCATTTGAGCTCAGCACTCTGGAAAGCTTCAATGAGAATCAAACTCAAAAGGGGTGATTGAAATACCCCACTTGCCCTGAGTTGTTCATAATGATTAAAGGACACAACTTTTTCATCTCTGATCATAGAACTAAGCACACACATGAAATAGAGAAGAGTGATATATAAAATACCATCCATTTCGACGATGGGGTTGTCAACCCTTATCTTCTGAAATTGCATTTTGTTGTATGTTTGTTGATTGAGGTGAAAGTGGGAACTCGGAGCAGAACGAACAATTTCAACAAACGCACACTTGAAAGAGGTGAGTTGTGCTGTGGAATCAAACAACGTTGGATTCTCAATTCAGTGTCAGTGAACTTAGTTATCTACGCCTACACCAACTATCTTTTATGGTTTATGCTATTGAACCATCACCATTCGTTTGTCCTTTACACCATTTCTTTCTCTTCCTTTTATGACCAATGTTCTGCTCTATCAGTAATTTTACAGATTTACATTATTTTAATAAAATATTTTTAAAATTATTTTCACCTTTATTTTCTTAATTAATGTCCCTAAATTGGTTAGTATTTTATATATGTTTTGCAAGAAATGTTTTAAAGTAATATTCGAGATTACATGATCACATCAGGGATATTATATTTAAAGGTAATTTTAATAGATTGATAATATCATATCAACAGTGTATTAAAATAAATTATTTTATCTTTTTTAAAATTTTATAAATGATATTTCAATATTAAAAAAAAAGTAATAAAAATTCAAAAGAATTACTTGTTTACGCTAATAAAATTTTCTTAAAAACTAATATGCTCGATTTATACAATCCAAAAAACTGAGTTAAAGATTTACCCAAAAGATTATTAAAAGGTAAATATGAAAAAATTATTTATAATATACAAAATTTCATTTTATTTCAAAAATAATAGGCCGCACACTCTATTTTATACTTCAAATGCCGAATAATTAATATTGAGAATATTTTTTACAAAATATTTTCATTTTAATTAAAGTTAATAAAAAAAAAGTAGAGTTTATTAAACGTGAATGTATTTTTTTATAATACTAATTTATTTAATAAAATTTGTCTTTTAAAAGTTTACAATTTTAATTAATTTTGACTAAAAATTTTAAAAAAAATGCTTTCATGTTTTTAATATTTAAAATACTTAATTAATATTACAAAAATTTAAAAAAACTAATGTCAAGTAAATATTTAAAAATTAAATTAGTAATTTAGTTTAAATAAATTAAATTTTAAATTAAAATTTTTGCATTAAACTTTCTTATAATATAATAATTATACTATTAAAATATTAAATATTTAAAAAATTAAAGAAAATTAAATTTATTTATATTTATAAATTTTGATTCATAAAACATATTTTAAATTTATTATTAAAATAACGATTAAAGATTAGTTGTACATGAAATTATTATTTATGTAGACAATTATAATAATAATTATTTTACTATTGTGAGATATTTTATTTTATATTTTACTATTATTAAATTATTAATATAACATAATATTCTTCTATTTTTAATATTATTTTAATTATTTTATAAATATTTTTTTTAAACTTATTAATCTTTATACATTTAAAAACATTTTTATTATATAAAAATATTTAAATAGTACTATTTTTATTTTTTATTTTTTATTTTTTTTTGCTTTTCTTCTCTCTTTTTTTATTTGAGTAACGTATTATTAATTTTTATATTGAATTTTTTTTTACTATTTTAATGCTTGCATTATCTTAATAATTTTATAATATAAGGTATGAATAAGATTTTGAGTTGGCAACAATGGTTGGATGTTAATAGTAATAGGTTGGCAATAGATAAACAAGATGAAAAGTGGATTAACACATGTTGCGTATTGTTCAACAATAGTAGCAATAATGATCATAACACATTTGTGATGAGGCAAAGATCGAGAGATATAAGTGTTTTCAAACACTTGTGATGGTGAATTGTGATGAGCATTAGACCTTGATAAAAACAACCTTCTTCTTCTTTTGTCTTGTTCATAGGTATTGTAATATCATTGTATTCTTTTATACTCTTACAATTTGTGTTTCTCTTCCACTCTACAAATTTACTGCTAGCACAAACACAGATAATATATATAATTGGATCAAAATTGATAAACAAGAAAACAATAAGAACACATGTGTAGAGATGAAACAAAAAAAGAGAAGGCTTAAATAGATAAAATAAAATTTAGGGGTTGTTTGATTCTATTTTGATTTTTAATTTTTGAAAATTATATTTTAAAATAATTTAAGAATTTGTTTTTGTTTTTTAATTTTAAAAATTAAAATTTTAAAAAAGAAAAATAAGTTTTTATTATTTTATTTTAAAAAAATAAAACTATATTTAAAAATAAAAATCAAACAAGCTCTTAATTTATTTTTTACTATTTTGAGTTTTTTGTTTAATACTTAAAAAAAGTGGAGTAAAGAGAAAAAAAAGGTGACGGTCGAAGTATGAGTTTAATTCATTTGAAAGTTATAATAACATTTTTTAAATGATGAATTTATTATTATTTTAAAATTTGTATGATTCAATAATAATAATAAAAATGTTAGTATATTGCTGATAATATTAGTTTTTTTTTTTTTATTGACAAAAAGTAAAAGTGAATTAGCCTCATTTTATTAATATTTATAGTAATATTATGAAATTGAAATACACATAAAAGATACAACTTTTATATTTTTAAAGTAATAAAAATTTCATAATAAATCTTTTAATTAATATAATTTATTATAAGAAATATTCACTTTTAATCAATTATATTTTGATGAATTTAAAAAACTTTTTATATCACTTTTTAGTATTTATATTCAAATATGTATCATATCCATTGTAAGATATCTTTACAACCTAACAAAAGAGTAGAAGACATGTCATATTATACATAGTAATACGCGAACATACTTTTATATTTCATAATAAACTTGAATTTAATTATTTTGTCTCACATTCTTTTTGCCTCCTATCATTATTGATTAATATTTGATACTTCAATTATAATTTAAACAAATTTTTGTATTTAGTTAACATGGTAGATCGATATTAGTGATTCACGTTCTTCTCTTTTTACATTAATTGTCAAACTTGATAGATGCTTTTATTATATATTTTTTAAGATAGATTTTACAAATTCTTCATAGTTGTGATTTTTTAAGTATCTTATAAAATTTTTCTGTAATTAATTTATATTTAAAGTTTAAGATCAATATTTACTCTTGTTAGGAGAATCTTTGCATTTTATTATGTTATTTCTCTTTGTTGATGTTTTGAGTACTAGTAGTCCACGTATCCTATCAAAATTCATGTTATTCACTTCAATTGGTTTGCATACCATGCATATTTTTAATCATTATAAACATTGTCTAGGATTTTTTTTTGAGACAAAATTTGAACATAATATCCTTAAGTATTTTTATGTGGTTTCTCAATTGGAGTTTCACATAAGAAATCAAGTGTGAACTCATAACATCACCCAATAGTATTTAAAGCATGTATTTAAGTCATATCCTTCCTTTTCTCATCATATTTGGAGTCCCCAAATTATGAGCATTGAGACTTACTATAAATTTTCATCTAAATAAGAATGGACACAAGTTTGGAGATGTGAAACTAAGGGTAGAGAATGAAAACTTACCCCCAACTTGTTCCATTGTGATATCCAACCAAAATTGTAAGAAACATTTAATAGTTAAATTAAATTTAATATATGCTAAAAGACAAAAGTGAAAGTTAAAAAAAATAAAAATAGATAAATATGAAAATGTATAACTTGAAAAATTACTAAAACAAATGAACTGGATATCAAATAATTATGAAAATAAATATTAATTGGAGAAAAGAACTCATCATGAAATCAAATAAGTTTAAAGTAAGATTTGAACCATATTTTAATGTCACTAATATTTAACTAAACAAATAATGAACAATATAAATTAGGGTATCTGCATACACGTCATTATATTTGTGTAATTAAAAATGAAAGTTGTGTTTTAATAAAATAAAAATGGACAGATTCGTATCACTTTCGTTTTAAACTATTTTTCATTATTGTTCTTAAATTATTTATTAAATATTGAAAAATTTTAAAAAATGTTATTTTTACACTCAATCTTTAATGGTCAAAGTGTAAAAGATTGAAGAGTGATCATTAGTCGGTTTTGAGTGGGTTCACGTCTAAAATTAACTAATTATAATTAACCAAATTGTTTAGAAAAATACCAAATTTTATCTAATTTTTTATCGGATAGCTCAGATTTGGGTCCATCGGGTAACTCAATTAATCGGGTGGTTAATTTGGTTAAGCCTTATGCTGGAAATAAAGAAACCATGGTTCGTCGTAACAAAAAAGAGAGGCAGAGAAGAGAAAAAATTTTAAACCCTAGCAGAGCTCAAAGATAGCAAACAAAGGATCGACGCCGCATAAATTAAAGAAATGAGAGAAAGATATATTGCTATATCAATTAAAACCTAATGACCTAATAATGGAACTGGCCTGACCTAAATTAAATATTCATATCACATGCATATTTGGTAAATTAAACATTCACGGATTCATAAATGAGAGAAAGATATCTTACAGTATCAATTAAAACCTAATGACTTAATAACAGAACTGGACTTGATCCAAATTAAATATTCATATCATATGCATATTCGGTAAATTAAACTTTCACGGATTCACGTATATATATTCAGTCAGTTTCGGGTACCGATAGTTTTCTAATTTTATATGCGTCACCGACCTTATTTAATCATTTTAATTTGAAAAATGTATTATACTTACCCAAAACTCGTTACTATCTGATTTTGCTTGAGTGAGTTGTTCAAATTCATACTTAGCGAAATAGATTGTTCAGATTTGCACAACCCTACATTAAACAGCAAATATAAAGCTTAATAAATAAGAATGTATGACAAATTTAAATAAAAGGTAAATATATGAAAGACAACAATTAAAACTTCTACAAACACCTTCAAAACTAAACTGAGAAAAGTCCTTAGTTCACATGCTAAAGCAAAAAAAATATCGTGCTAAGAAAAAAATTGAAACTCTTATGTACAGTAGATGTGCACATATATGGAAGGAAAAATGAAGAGTACACGGTATAAATTCACGAATAATGATAAAATATATAATAATTAAATATAATTACTTCATTGTGTTATTATTATTATTATTATTTAAATATTTTTATTATTAATGTTGTTATAAAATATTATTTCAAAAAAAAATTAAATATTTTTCATAATTTTTTCTTCTTATATCTGACCTAAAAAGAAAATAAAAATACATTTATCTTTTCATTGCTGTAAATCAAAATACTAAATATTTAAAATGAAATAAATTATAATTTTATTATTTAGATTTAAATGCATTTTTCTTCCTTTAATTTAATTCAATTTTTAATTTAATTTCTTTATTTTCAAAAATTAACTTTTTTTTTGTATGTTTAACATATTATTTATAATATACTATATTATTAATTAAATTATAACTTTATATAAATTTTACTTTTAATATGACAAATTTTATTTATTTATTAATAAATTATAATTAATAATATAAAGTGTATTAAGACAACACGCCTTTTTCTTGGCAGCTTGCATAGTAAGAGTAGCACCTTAATAGAACATGTTTCATGGTGAAGTGGTTGAATGAAGACTGTGCAAAACAAGATAGAGAGCATGATGTTGTTGCACTGTGCCATTCCTCCCTCTCATACTCCCTCTTTCTTCTCCCAATCACTCAAACAAAGGAACCCATTTCTTCACCATATCCATTTTCCTACAAAGTCCAAAGCGTTCATTTTCCCAATTTCTTCTCTTGCCACTGGTTTCTTTGATGACATCGCCCAAATTGCTCATAACAAGGTATCCTATTGCAAAATTTAATGTTTAAATGCCTCAACAAATTCTGGGTTTCCCTCCTTTTCTTTGTTTTTTCTGTTTTATGTGCTGAATTGACGCTTGTTTTCTCTTGTTTGATTTTCTGCTGCTAAGGTTCTGATTGCAGCTGGTGCTTCTGTGGCAATTGGGCAACTTTTTAAGCCATTAACTTCTGTTTTTCTGTATGGCAAAGAGTTTGATATCAGGGCAGTTGTTCAAGCTGGAGGGTTCCCATCATCACACTCTTCTGTATGGCCTTAATCAGTTAATCCTATTTTGTTTTTGCCACTTGAATTGTTGATTTTCTCCCTGTTGGGTTTCACTTCCATTCTCACCAAGTTGTTTGCATTTTCATGGGCATAGGCAACAGTGGCTAGTGCAACATTGTTTGGCCTTGAGAGGTAATTTAATCCAGCTGTGTGAGTTTGGTGTTTGGTTCATATCTAAGTTTTAATCTTTACCATTTTTGTATAGTTGCATGATCTGTTTCTACCATTTTCAATTTCTTAAAATGAAAATTGTTCTCGTTGTGTGTGTCCCCATACGTGTGTTTTTGTATATGTGTATATGGGGACCATTGAGGTAACAAGTATGAGTAAAAAAGTATCACTTTGGGTATAAATAAAGAAGTTGAGCAATATATAAGTAACAAAGACCGATAAACTAATTCAATTTTGGGTTGCACTTGTTAGAAAACATATTTAACATGTGTTAGATATTTGTAAAGCTAAGTAGATAGTCGATGCCTTAATTAGGAGTTGATTACAAATATGATTAAATAAGAGCTAATAGTTGTATGATCTATTTTTACCATTTTCAATTTCTTGAAATGAAAATTGTTCTCGTTGTATGTCTCCATATGTGTGTGTTTGTATATGAGGACATATATAACAAGAACAGTCCTCATTTTATGTGTGCACACATGCGTGCGTGTTAGAAAACATATTTAATGTGTTATATATTTGTAAATAGCAGTTACTGTAATTAGAGATAGTAGTTGTTGCCTTAATTAGGAGATTTTATTGATTACGGTTAGATTTGTAACTAATTTTGACACCTTAATTTGTGCCTATGAATATTGCACTTATATGTGCTTCTAATACACAACAATATTCAAAAACCACTTCTTTTTTTCTAATATATATTGAAATCTAACACTGACTACAAATATGATTAAATAAGAGCTAATAAAGGTTAAAACAATTCTCACCTTCTATGGTGGCTTTTAGAGTTGAGTTAAGCCTTAACCCAAAATTTAATATGGTATCACAGCTTATTGTAGATTTGATATTAAGTCACCCTTGACTGAAAAAAAAAAAAACCTGATCTTAAGCATGAGGGAGTGTGTTGAAGTCCCACATCAACTATAAATTTGGTTAAATAAGAGCTTATAAAGACTAAAGTAATCATCACCTTACAAGTTAGCTTTTGAGTTGAGTTAGGCCTCAAACCCAAAATTTTTATATATTCTTATACCATGATAGCATTTCTCACAATCTCACTCGGTATGCTCCTATAGTCCTATTCACTCTCTTACAGACACATAATTAATGAGATATTTGTAATTTTGTAATTTCCAAATGCAGAGGCTTCTCAGATCCCATTTTTGGTCTAACTGTTGTGTATGCTGGTCTCATTATGTATGATGCTCAGGTATGATATTCTTCTGTCAAATAATGGTTTTTATCTAGTCTGTTATGTTATTTACTTTCCTTTATGTATTAACTGCATTTTTGTCCTATCGTGTTGCTCCATAGGCTATTTCAAACTTAGTGGAGGAGTCTTAAGCAGGATTAAATTATTATGGACTGAGATATTGAGTATTGTTGTTGTTATTATCTCTAATGAATGATAAAACTATTTGTAGAATTCTTATGATGATGTTATTGGTAGACAGGAACAGATTTAATTCAATTTTTGGCTTACAGTTTCTTGCTTTACATGAGATGTTATGTTTCTGGATTTACTGGTAAAACATTTGTAATAAGCACACACAGCAAAACTTAGGAGTATAAGAGAAAATGACGCAGAATTTAGCATGGTTCAACCTACCATGAACTTTCCACAGGTGAATAGAGAGAAGTTCATTTTGACCAATGAATATTTCATTAATAGTCACCCAAAATTCTAACCCTGGTTCCAATACAACCTCATCCAATGATATTATAAGATGACCTAATTACTCAACAATTTATATTGGCTTCATACTTTGGGGGACTACCACCGCTTGATGTCCATGAAAATTCCTTCTTGTGTTACACTGCAGGTTTGTCAGGTTGGCCGACATTCATTGTCAAAACCCAAAAGTAAACACAAGTCACTTAAGTTATAACACTTACGATGAACTTTTCATATTTCTAGATTGTGCACCGTGGTAGATTTAAGTATTTAACAACTGCCTACCAGGACTGATACACCACACAGTTGGCTTGAAACTTTCCTTTTTGGAATTATTTAGTAAAACTGTGGACGTAATAAATGTATAGTTGTTTCTTAAGATTGAAGAAGAGAGAGAATTTGATCAAAAAAAGATTTTTCTATAAGTAGTAGTTTGACACCATGCTTTAAATCTGGTATATATGGGTATATAAGACTGGAGTTAGAGAAACTTTGCTCTTTTGAATAGTTGTATGAGAAAGGTTGTTATAACTATTTACAAGACAATAGCAATCCCTGTATGCAGTCAAGGGATCGCTATTGAAGGGAACTAGCTGCAGAAGACTATGACAATCAGGCTTAAATCGAAAGAAAAAAAGGGTACCTTTCTTTTCAAGACAGTCTCCACTGGCCAAGCCAGTGATGCAAGGAGGGATTATATGATTGTGGCAAGTGGGCTCTGTACATGTGGTCAATATCTCTGAGAGTAACTCATGTTACAATGTATCATGCTGTGTTCTAATGGTTTTTAATCTTCCTTTTGTTTCAAACTTTAGATTCATATTAAACATGCCTCAAAGGTTAAAACAGAATGTGTTTCAAGGCTGCTTGTGGCTCATTCCTCGGATTAGGAAGGTGATTTAATAGATTTGAGTGTATTTTCAACTTCTATATCATTTTTCTTTCATGTCTCTCTCTCTCTCTTTTGGAAATAATAAATAATTATGTGGAGGCAAGTAACTATCGTTATCTGCATAGTATTAACAAAACACCTATTACTAAGGTGTATATTAGAAAGGGGCACAATGGATCTGGGCCATTTAATTTATCAGGTTGCAAAAAAGGCAGGAATCAGAATCTCAGGAAGGAAAGTTTGATCTAACAGATTGCAGATAAGGTAATCAAGGGAATTGGGATATCATATCAGTAACATTGAGATGGTAGGCAGCAATGAGAATTAGGAGTAGTTGACTGGTATGGATTACTAAAACGGGAGGGATGTAAGACAGAGTAGGCACAAAACCGGTAAAGAGCAAAGGAGAGTGCAGGTTCTCTCGGATACCCTTTGTTCTGTTTCTGTTTCAGTATCTACATTGTAAATCCACCCCTAGGAACCGATTGTACACTGATATCAGTATCTATAGAAGAATAGGGTTTACTAAATTCTCTCTTTTTTGGTATATCAGTAGTGTCGAGGTCTGAATCTATGTCCTAAAGCAAACTACCCGAAATCATATTGCTTGCAAGGAACATGGTAAAATATTATGTTTATATGGAAAGTGCTTGTCCCTTAATTTGATGGTATGTAACAAATTTTGGTAATTTTGTTTTTGTTGCATGCTTAGATTAGATTTTAACGGGTTCTTTTGTTCTCCTTTATGTAGGCTTGACCTGCCTTGACCTTGGTGCTTCATTAGCTTTTTAACCTATAGAAAGAGAAATGAGATTTAATGGATGTATAAGGAGAGTAAACAAATGATGGTTGCAAATGGGAGAGGAACTGACCATGTAACTATGTGAGCCTGAACCTTGAAAAATTTGTCAAAAGCAGTTTTAGTTTATTGCTTCAGCTCCCAAAGGATAAGATAGATATCCTATGCCAAGCCTAAACTAGCCTTAGGGCTTGCTGATCATATTCTTGTCATATGCTGTATGCTTAGTGACAGTTTATTTTAGCTTATTATGGAAAAATAATCTCTTATTTTGTCAACTTTCTGAAAGAGCTTTTGAGAAGCAAGAAAAGAACAATTAGTTCCCCAGAATGAATGACAACCAAACATGCACTTATTTGCATGAGAATATATTGCATGCTTGCCCTTTAAAAACATGGCAAGGATCCAGACCTACTAGCCAGAAGTTCACACCACGCAATGTTCATTGCATTCCCTGTAATAAAAAACATTGGCTAGAGAACATGTTTGGAACAATTTACTTATATCTCGTGAGTCTTCATAAATATCTTGTTATTTATTTATTTAGTTATTTGTTTCTCCAAGTAATTATTCTCACTGAACAAAACATTGGCTAAAGTCAGTAGCTTGGGTCCAGCAGAAAAAACGTTGCGTAAGGGTAAGCTAACTGGCTGTCACAGTTGAGAAATTACCAGTGCACCTGTGTATGTGTTAATATTCTGCAAAATCTTTGTTTTTACAGTTTTGTTAACATCAGCTCTAAGAAATTTTTTATTAAGAAAGAAGAAATAAACACGTTTATATCTCTGATTTAATAAAAAAGCTTTATTTTCTAATGAAAACTTTATAGTATACTTTTGGTTAGTTAACATCAGCCCTTATCATTCTATCCTTTTATTCTCATGTTTTTTTGTATCTTTGTGAACTGTTTAGCTGACAATTGAGTGCCCGTTTGATTTAGTGTGTGTTTGAAAACGCGTTAAAAAATATGGAAAGGTGGATCGACAACCCTTATCATTCTATCCTTTTATCTTCATTGTTGTTTATATCAATGTGACCTGTTTAGCCTACAATGGAGTGCTCACTTGATTTAATGTGTGTTTAAAAACACGTTGAAAAATTTGTAAACGTAAATTTAACGTGTAAGTTACAACTGATTGCATTAAAGTAAATGTGGATGCATTAACATTTAAACATGAAACCAACACAATCTTAAAGTGAGTAAAATTGATTTTACATTGTTGAATATGATTGATATTCATACATAAATTAATTTGAACATAAACTGTAAACGTATCATTATTAGAATGTGTGCTTTTCATTAAAAATGTGAGATTAATTTTCTAAATGTGAAACAAACAAGCTTGAGACTGTGGCTTCTGTTATTTGCAGGGTGTAAGAAGAGAAGTGGGGATTCATGCTAGGACACTGAACAAACTACTGCATCAGATGCATGCCAACTCCTTACATTCCCAAGATAGAGATGGTTTGATCAACTCTCAACCAGGATTATCAAAGGAACCAACAGTAGAAGATCTTGAGAAATCCCTTGTGTTCCAAGAAACCACTTCTTTGGAACCACAACAAGGGAACACACATCTATTAGTTAAATCAGGAAGCAAAATAAGGCACACAGATGCAGAAGAAATCTCTATGTTGGCTGTTAATGGTCTTTCCCCACTAAAAGAGTCTATTGGCCATACTGAGATTGAAGTCATGGCTGGTGCTTTATTAGGCTTTTTGGTTGGTTTGGCTGTGTATAATTTTATCTAACATCTTTCATTTTTTTTATGAATGATTTCATTGTATTTCTTACATAAAGTTGATTATTAAATTGAAAATCAGTGTGTGAGGTGTAAAGGAGCCCAATTAGAAATAGGTTTACAGCTATCTTTTGTAATACCATGTGAACAGTCGTTCTGACAATTTTTTTATCATCGAGTAAAATTTATGATGATTCATTAAATGATATGAATTTCACTTCTTATTTAACATGCTTTTGTTTTTATTGAATTTTACCTGAATTTTACTAATAATAAAATGTATATTAAACAAACTGGACAATTACAGTTCTTTAATGTTACAAAAATCTTGTTAATCACGTTAAGAAGAATAGTAAAAATATCTAATAATATTTGAATAAATTTTTATTTTATTATTTAATCAAAGTTTGAAGGAAATTGACTACAGATTGCTGATCTATAATGAATGGCTTGGATATCATACAACCAAACACAGTACTTAAGATAAGGATAAAAACCGATCCAGTACACCAGTACTTTCTCATTTCCTAGGCATTCCTTGGACATTGAAACCAAGAGAATTGTAACATGAATTAATCATTGATAATGTTTAATCAATTTTAAATATACATTAGTTAAACCAATAATGAAATACCATTAGACAAGGTCTAAAAAAGCCGTCACCAAACAACAACTCTAACAAAACGTGGCAGATAACAAGGTCACAAGAGCCACGTGTCACAAATTATCACACGTGTGACTTCATTGCATGTTTGCATTCCACGTGGATTGATCATGGTAGAGTTACATTGCCAACATTTTGTAATATGCTGTTACAGCCAAACTCTGCATATAAATAAGCAAATGTAGTATAATTATAACCGAAGGTTCAAAAGGGTCAGAAAGATTAAGATGTCAGGGGCACAAGGGGCACAACCAAAAGAGTCAAAGACAGCAACAACATACGAATCAATAGAAGGAGGGGAGAACCGTACAAGGACAGAGTTACGTTCAAGGGAGGATCAAGGTTGCATTCAAGTGGATAAGATGCAAGAGAAGGTGCATGATCCTGCTGGCAAAGGTGGTCCTGTTTTTGGTGCTGGCAAAGATGATAACAAACAAGACCTTGGAGTTACTGGCACTGGTTAATGGTTAACAAATATATGTGCTAGAAACTAGTTTTTTCAGATCATGCTGTTTCTTTGTTTTTTTAATTCAGCCACTGTTTTGTGTTTCTGTATTTTGGGTTTTGTGAATGGAACTATGGTTTTGAGTCTTCCTAATTTGCATGTATGTAAACATTTTATGGAATAAATAGGAAGGGAGTTGTTAATGATGTATGAAGTTCATCGCTTGTTTGATCCTTTCTTTATTTATTGTGTTTTATTTTCTCTTATTGGTTTTTATCTTTATATTTTATCGTGATTTAACCAGGGAAAAAATGAGTATACTCTATTCTAATCTTTGAAAAAATTAAGCGTGGATTATTTTTTATTTAATTTGATGAAAATATTTAGTTTAGTTAACAAATAAGTTGGCTGAGTATATATTTATTTATTTTTACTAAGATCAGGATTTATTAGAATTGTCTCTACTCTTACATAGATACATACATATTATAGTGTCCCACAGAATGTGTTGGTGACATCCGGTGGCGAAGGGCTGAAGAGAAGAGCAAGTAGTGTCTGGTTGGAGATTTTTAAAAAAATTTATAAAAATTAAAAATAATTATTTATTTTAAAAATGTTTTAAATATAAAAATAATTATATATTAAAAATTATAAAAATAATAGGTTATTGCCAAATAAGACTAATGGCTCTATATTTGACAACTATATTCTTTAAAACTGAAGTTGAGTATATGCAAACAGGATCAACTTTCATGGTTAAGAAAGAGGATGTATAATATTTAAGAGAGATCAAAATATCAATTACAATGAGAAGGATCATATGAACTTTTATGTTCTAATTGGAGTCTTAATCTTCACTTACAATACTTTCCCTTTTTAATTTGTTTTCGCGATTTTAGATATTAATTTTATTGTTTATATGTTGAGTAAATTAACATTAATTTAATTTTTGAATATTTGATAATTTTTAATTAATTTAATATAATAAACTATTAGTTATGTTTTTTTTAAAGTTACTAAATTTAAAAATAAAATTTTTATTTTTCATAAAAATATGAAGTTTCTCTTTGTTGAGTAACTAATGATAAATAAACTTCTTTTTTCAAACAATATGAAGTCATGGAGTTCGCAAATAATTTAATTTTAATGGTATTAATGTATTAAATTGTAAGATTTCAAATATATTTGTTTGTTCTTTAAGTAAATGGTTCACGTCTGAAAATAAATTTTATGTAATATTATATCTCTTGAAATTAAGAATTTATTTTTATTTTTCTATAAGAGAAAAAGAAAAAAAAATGGTTAACAATTTAAAAATTTTTAAACATTAAATAAACCTGCTTTCTTGCCTTCATATTCTGTCGTCATTCGCTTAAGCGAATTTAATTGAATTTTTGTTTAAGCAGTGATTTATGGCTTAAGCGACAGAATTATAGGATTCAGACTTCAAAGTGAGTCCAAGCGAGGTTGGTGAATCCTCGCTTAAGCGAAAATTCATGGCTTAAAGCGAATATAAAATCGCTTCGTTCAGCTCAAGCGAATATATTTAATTTTAAGCGAATTTTGGATAGAGGATTAGGATTTTCAGGCAACTTTTATCACTTAAGCCATTTTAAAATTGCTCAAGCAAAATGTTATTGGCTTGAAGCGGAAGCAAGCAAATTTATTTAAAATGAAGCAAATTTGGGATAGAGAGTACTAATGCACAGGCCTTGAATTTGCTTAAGCTAATATGTATTCGCTTAAACGAAGTGTGAATGGCTTGAGCCTATTTTTGGATGGTTAAGTGAAATGTGAATGGCTTAAGCAAAAATAAGGGCTTAAGCGAATTATGCAGAAACTGACAGCATGTTATGAAAGGGTAAAATTTTGCAAAATTTATTATCAATGTCAATTCCAGTCATCCAAAAACAGTTACATATGACAACAAAAGATGGATAATAGACCATTCTATTCCATTCCAATAATGGTACACAATTGTTCACAATGATGCATAACCAAAAACAATTCATTAATACATAGACAAGTCAATAATAAAAGAAATCATTCCATTCCATTCCAATCCAATAAAATATCATCCAAAATTGCGAAAATATAATGTTCACTAGACTTGAAAGTATCAATTGATCCTCTCAACATAACATGGATAAATACTTAAGTTCATTCCATTAATGAAATGTAATTGTTCAAAATGAAAATATATACCAAATGAAATTCATGACAAAATAGGAAATATTTCAAAATAAATACATTCATAAATGATTTGAGGACTATGGATTTATCATGTTTTGCCCCATAGTCCTGCTCATTGAAGTCTTGATTATGTTGTTCATCATTGTTTGCAGCATTATCCTCATCCTCTCCAACTTGTTCCAGTGCTTCGTCCTCAACCAGTGGTTCATTTCCTTGAATATCTTCATTAGCTCCTTCCTCTGGTTGGACCATATCATCCTCTACATTTTGGTGGTCAGGTGGGAAAGTTGGGCTATCTCTAGGTTAGTATACAATAGTTGCAAAAGCTTCAGGAGTAGGCCAAGGGAAAGCAGAAGTTTCTCCATGATGTTGGTGTAATGTAAACCTATGAATTGACAAAATGAGGGTTATGTTAAACAAATTGAACATTTCCAAATAGTATGTACAAGAATTTCTTTAAATAAAGTTTACTTGTAAAAGGTCTCATTCAGTTGTGTATACGCTCGGTTGTTTGCTGCATTTTGTTATTCTATATGAGTCAAATGGCGCATAACAGTAGAATCTGTATGTGACATGTGAGGCATGGATGCTGCAGTTGGTGGTGGTGTCGGTGCAGGTGCTGCAAATGAGGTCGATTGAGAAGAAGTTGGAATAGGATGCTCTAATAGATTCGTGCAATAATTTCTGATGAAGTGAGAATTTATAGGTTTCCTCAATTTAATTGTTTGGTTGGAGCAATCGGGAATGCTAACACCTTGTGAAGCACATAGAGCAGTGATTAGAGCAGGGAAACCCAAAGGCTTTGTCGCTGATGCAATAGTGGAGGTGTTGGACATGACAATGAAATAATTGCCGCTATATCCACAATTAAATTCTCCGTAAAGCTATAAATCAGATATGCTCGAGGCATGCGAACATCTGAGGTATGTGTGGTAGGGGCTATGTTTGCAAAGAGAAACGAAGTCCAGATTTGAGCCAAAGTGTTTAAACTTTGCCTCTTGAACCTCATTGCCTTTCTAGCAGCATTTGTCTCAAAGGATTTCCCAGGGATGCATAAAATCTTAGCCACCTCCTGGTCTACAAAACCTAAAATCTCCTTCGACATTGTTGGTATTGGCAAAGCTCTCCTTCTTGTAAGGTCATAGGGTTGCCTAAAAGTGCAGAAATAGCTTCCCTGTCATAAGCAATCGTTTGCCTTTGAACCCTGGACATTCTCTCTAACTTGTCTGGTATCAACGGCCATGCGACTTCATGTATTTGGTTGGGCAAATTTACCAAGTATTCCCATTTCCTTCTGACAATTTTGTGCATAAATTCATCATACTCTCCTTGGTCTAATACCACTTTTCTCTCAGGTAGTAATTCCCTTTGCTCCAATTGAATGTATCTTTGAGCCTTTGCCCTAGTTCTGAACCTAAATCTATCCCATGATAAGATTGGTGTATGTGGTTGTGTTTGTAGTGGTTCTTGGTCATCCATAACTTCTTCATTTTGCTGTGAACTTTGCCAAACCTCAGCTCTTTGCCTTTTCCTTTGAGGAATTGACTTCTTAGGTCCCATGCTGAAATAAAAATCAAAATTAAAATAATCATCCAGTAAAATAAAAACAGTTCAGTGAATATCCTAAATATACATTCAAGCAATATATTGTAATTCTCTTAAGCTATATAACTCTGCTTAAGTGGCGAAGACGTTTTTTCAGTTGCATGTGTGCTAACCAAATCGCTTAAGTGAATTTTTTCAGCTTAAGCAATTTTAACAGCGCAGATAACCAGCATGGACCCAAAGATTAATTCAGGAAGAAGAATCAAAACATCAAAATGAAGATAAGTAGCATGGACCCAGCACAAAGTATTTTGCATGCATCACACCTAAGAGACAATATGAAAGTAAACTATTTTTGTTATTGGAAACTTTCATTTGAAAAACAACACACATTCAACAGTTCGGTTAAAGAGAAAGTATCTGAGTTGGAAGATGGAATAAAGGATGTTGGGTTTAGGGTTTCAGGGTGGGAGAAGGAAGGAGAAATTTTATAAGAAAGGACGAGTGCAATGAGAATGAGAATGACTTGGTATTTTGAATTGTAAAGAGTCTGACAGTCGCAAAATTCGCTTAACCCAATATTATTCGCTTAAGCGAATAGTCGCTCAAGCGATTTACAACGTTCATATTTTTCGCTTAAGCGGACATCCTTTAGTGAAAATTTGCTTAAGCAATTTTTTTTTTGCTTAAGCGGATGAATTTTTAAAGTGGCGTCAAACATCAATGGGATGACGTATTGAGGAAGTAAGAGACATAAAGCCTTCCTTGAAACACTCTGCATCATTTCTCTTGTTTGAACACATCATTTCTGTTGTTCGAAGGAAGTTCCTGCCATCTTCTTTTTGAGGTAAACATTTATTTCACATTAAGTTTTCATTTACCATATTCTTTTTGAGGAATGACAGCTTATGTTCTTCCTTTGTATTTTTTGGGTTAAAAAGGAAATAGAATGCATTGCATGGAAGCCGCATGTTGGGTTACAGTTTGACGCTCTTGAAGAAGCATGAAAATATTGGTGTGAATATGGAAGGATAGCATGATTTGGTGTGAGGAAACAATATTATAACAGGAGAAAGGTTGATGGTGTAATTTCATCTTGTCAGTACGCTTGTTGTAAAGAGGGACGTCAAAAGGAGGATAAAAGAAATGCAACAGTTACAAAGCACAGGGCAGAAACTAGAACTGATTGTCTTGCAAGAATAACATTGTTTTTGGGAAGTAACAACAAATATGTTGTACATGAGTTTTGAAGAGCATAATCATCCATTACAACTTCCAGAA